GTTTTCCCTCCGTGTAGTCATCGTCCTGCGGTCGCGTCCCCAACAAGTGGGCGGCATTGGGATTATGTCCTTGTGGGCACGGGGCAGTCGGCCAGTCCCCGGCAAATGAAGTGGCGCAGCATTTGATTATATAGCGACTCCTGAACCGCTTAAATCGCGTGTGAGTGTGCTGGCCTGCGCTGTTCGCATGTCTTGAGAGTTCCGGGCAGGACATTACGGGACTCACCTACTGATTACGGCTCACAATGTAAGTAAATTGCGGAATTACGGGATCGATTCGCTGATTACTCAATCAGCAGTCAATGGGTTTAACTGCCGGATTTCCGTGCGGTGGCTGCCCTCAAGTCTGGGGGAATTACTAATCCCGAATTTGGGGGTAATGCATGGCTTGGTTTCAGATTCATGACGGCGATTCGCTTGAATGCCTAAATGGGTTCTCAGCGTGGCTTTTCTTTGAGGGAATTATCGGAAGTTATGTCTATCAATTATTAGTTAATTAGGGCTCTTTTTAAGACACGCTCCAATAGCCCTAAATATTGATATTCACATGTAAGCACAGGAAATATTTCACACTGTAGTTGTGACATCCTTTTTCCTGCCTTTGCTCAGACGACTCTTTTCAGTTAGTAATTGCTACTCAGTCTAATTTATCTCTCCGCCTCATTGAAATTTTCCTTAAACTGAAGCATTTTTGGTACTTGGGATGTGGAAAGTAGCACAGTTTAAGTAATGCACTCGCCCACTTTCCGAGCTCCTTGGTTTCTGCTCCGCCGACTTCACTATTTGAATGGGTTTTAGTTTCGAGAGCATTTGTTTAGCTAGACATACTTGGAGCTGAATGGAGCTGCACTGCCTGCAGGCTGGCTTCTTCCTTTTCAGCCGGGCTGAAACCATTCCTTTTTGGCCCATCTCCAACCACAATGGAACCGCAGCGAAGCCGAAAAAAGTGTATATGAAAAATGAGACTGCAGCTTTCGTCGGGCATTCAAGCCATTCCCCTCTATTCGCACTCATTCATCTCGGGATGAGCCGGTCTTAAATTTGCATAACAAGCGACAAAAGTCCCCTGAATCGTAATTATGTGCAAACAAACGCGGCAAATGAAATTTCAATTAAAAAACGAGTGCGAGCGAGTTGAAAAAAGTGAAATCGAAGCTGGCCAAAGGCGGGGAAGGGGTCTTTGGTCTTCACCCTTTTTTTTTTTTTTTTGTGGGGCTTCCCGGCCACCGCAATACGCACTGTTTCCCTGTGAAAGGGAGCGAGTTGAGTTCAGTTGAGTTGGGTTCGGTGTGGTTTGGCTGCGACTCGAAGTGAATGCCGAGTGGCAAGTGCAGTGCCAGGTGCACTGACATTGCCACACGAACGAGGCTGCAGCCCGACCCCTTACTTTCCACCCGAAAACCCCATCATGAATCCCGTTTCGAGTGACTGCAAGTGCAATTTTGTTGCCAACCTTGAGGACGTCGCTCTGCCGTCTGCTGAACGCCTGCTATTCCGGAGTCAAGGCTGCAAGGGGCGTCCACCAAGGGGATCCCTCCTCACCCCCTCTGTTCTCCTCCCGAACTCAGCAGTGGGCTGCATTCCCCTTCGCAGTGGGTGGCTCATTAACAAAGGGGTATATTGGCATCGAGGGGAATTAAAGCTAGCACTTGGTGTCGCAGAAGCCAAGAGATTATAAAGGGTTAAGCTGTAAAATAAACCTATGTGTAACTTAGCACTTCAGTTCAGTAAAATTAATATTCAAGAGAAAATATTTGGTAACTTATTTAATTTTATATAAAAGCTTTATTTAGCTCAGAAATTTTGTTAACAATTCATTTTAAAAACCTTCGGGTATCCAATAGTCTGAATGGAATTAACTCACAATTACTTCTGATTCTGATTCTAGCTGTTTTTATTTTTCTCTGTTTTTTGAGCCAACAATGTCAACATGGCAGTCAGCCAGAAAGGCTCCAGCTCGGCTCCCTTCACTTCCTGCACCCCCACCCCACCCCTTCTGGCCGTCATCAGTGTGCGCCTTTTTGTGTGCATTGTTGCAGGGGGGTGTTAATGCCGGGGTGGCATGAACCGAGGGGGCAGGCTGCAGCGCTCAGTTGCCATTGCAGTTAATTGAAAATACTAAATTTCCACTGTCTAGACGGCAAATTATATGACAATTGTTAGAGCGCGCATGTTTGGCTTTCATATTAAAATTAATTACTCTGCCTGAAATTTTGCATAAAAATTGTGTGTGAAAGCCATAAACAATGGGGCCATTGTCGAGCGAGCAGGCCGTGTTTATCTGAGTATGTGAGTGCTGTTTCTGTTTAATTTCAGCACAGAGGGCTCTGAATGGACGAGAAGGAGTTGCATTAAATCCCCTTCGACTGTCCAAAGTTTCATAATTAGAAAGCTAAGGCGATAATCGATGGTGGTAATTAGAGAAAGCGCGTTGCGAATTTTCACACGCTTCGGGGGTCACAAACTGCTCATAATTGCACCACAGGAAATTTCAAATCGGAGAGGCAGTTGGGCAGTTTGTGCAGTTGGTGGTGGGGCAGCCAGGAAACTGCAAATTGCAAACGGAAAACGTGGGCTGGCCAAACACCTTTGATCACAGACTCGCTTCACTGCACACAAACAATTATTTGGCACTTAATAAACAATGAAATTGAAAATTTAAGACGCTTATCGTAGTCAGTTTGCGGCATATGCAAATTTCTAACCAGCTTTCATGTAATTACACTCGACCCGTAGCATCTTATATATGACATTTTCCACACAAACGACGATGTTCGTTATATATATATGTATATAAATATCTGCCTTATGTACGGACTGCCACTGACATTCATTAACCGAGAGAGTTGCAACCTTTTTGGGGCCGAAACGGGATTTGTGCGGCCAGCTCGTAAATAAACTTTGGCAAGCTGCTTGCAACGGCTGCGTATGCAAAACATCTTCAAAATTGACTTTACTGATTTTGCCTTTTGCATTTTATTATGTGTTTATTATGCTAACAATGTGCCGAAAGTTTTCCGGGGGGCTGTGATGCGGAGGGCATGTGGTTAAATATTTGCAGCTGCAGCAGCTCCAGAGGCGTTGGCAAAGGGGGTGGAATAAATATTTTCCAAGGCACTTCATATTTGGTGAGATAGCTACTAAATGTGGAAAATATATCTAAAATCTTAAACCCAATCCTCTAATAAGCGGTAGATATCAAATAAATCAAACGTTTAAAGATATTTTCACAAGACAACAGAACTTTCTTGAAGGCCACTTAAAGCTTCAAATGCCTTTACTGCTGAGGTTAACTTTTCTTTGAACCCTCGCTCTGTGGCCTTCCCCTATCAATTCATATCCCGAATCATTTCAATATTAAAATAGCTCCGAACAGCCTGGGCCTTCGGATTGGGATTCCTCCTGCTCAAGTTCATCCCCGACTCCTGAGCAATTTCGGGCCTTTCATCTGCTAAAAGCCCCATCATCCCCTCAATCAGAGGTCACTCATACGCCCCGTTGTCCGTCCGAGCTTCCCTGCATTCTGGCATCTTGTCCAGCATGTGTTTATCAATATGAAAGGTATGCGAGGCCAAGTCGGGCCGAGTCAATTAGTTGTCTCTCACTTCGGATCCGGGGGTTCCTTGGGCTGGGATCCTGGAGGAGCCGGCCACTTCAATCTAGCACACTCAATGACAGCTGCAGCTGGCTGGGCGACCAAACTGTAGCCACATTATTTTCATTATGCCATTGTCTGGCTCCTTGAACCACTCTCTTCCCTTTGGGGGACTGACTCCCAGCCACCTGACGGATGAAGCGGCTGGACAATATTTCTGCTGCCAGCAGACATTTGCATTTCATTTTTCGACAAGCAAAAATATTTTTACAGCCAAACAAACACACGCCCAAACGTTTGGAGAAGACAACAAACAAGGGTCGTGGGGAGGGGTCAGGGGGCATGGCAAATAGTTAGACGACTTCCTTTTGTCTTTTGTCTGTGACCCGAGGGCGCAGCCATCCTGCCACGCCCCCTCGGAGCGAAGGGAGGAGTCCTCCGTACTCCGTACTCCGTCTGCGTCTGCAGTGGTCCATCTGTCATTTTAAGTGGCTTATTCATATGCAAGTGGCTTCCGGGGCTAAGCATATTCAAGTGTTTTAGTGGCCCGTGTACATGACCGAGCATTATCATTAAGTGCTTATAGGCAGGACTCGACGTTTGCCCTTCAGCCAGCCACCCCCAACACCCTGTTATGACCCTCCCCCTCCCAATCCCCTCCCATCCCCTCGGAATCCTTCGTTGCGAGTGAACAATGACTGCTATTAACGCAAATTGATATGCCATGCCCCCGCCTGTCCCTCTGGCCACCTGCCCCTCCCCCTTCCCCCTCCCCTTGACCTACACCTGTCAGGCGAGTTTAATGGCCACCGGAAATGGCCGAAACCGTATTATGCATACGCACTGTCGCACTTGGCCAGTGAAACCCATAACTTTCGTTACTCCTACTAAAATGAAGAGTGAACTTATTCATTGCCTTTTTATGATTTTGTGCTTTTTTAAAGGGATATAAAATATCTGTTTCTTTAAAATAGTTTTCAATAGATAATAAATATACAATTACTGTATCTCAAAAAGAAATTACTTATTTAAATGCAACACTTTTATGATTAATCAATTCTGGTAGCTAAATATAAAATCCCCTCTGTTGAATGACATTTACTTTAATTAAATTTATTAATCATTATATTTAATCCTCCGGTAGAGCATCGCTCCCGCTGTCGCTGCTATGAAGGCGACCTCCAGCAGCAGTTGCAGCAGCGCCGCCAGCAGCTGCAACCAGCCGGAGCCGCTGGCGAGTGCCATCTCCGCAGCTGCCTCGAGTGGAGGAGCCCCGAGTGGAGGCGCGAGTGGGGCCAGCACCTCGACGAAGCCGCACCGCCTGGCCAAGGTGTCGTTCGCCCCGCTGGACCTGCCGTTTCCCAGCGGAGCCACGTGATACGCGAATGCGAATGCGACTGCCGGCGCCGCCGCCTCGAGTATGACGCACCACAACATTGTCTGCGAGTGGCTGCGCACCATCGGGCTGGGCCACTACGGCGAGAGCTTCCTGGAGAACGGCTACGACGAGCTGGAGATCTGCAAGCAGATCGGCGAGATCGACCTGGACGCCATCGGGGTGGACAACCCCTCGCACCGCGGCAAGCTCCTCAAAAGTGTTCGCATGCTGCGCGAGAAGGGCGCCGCCATCGTCTACGTCCTGATCAACGATCCCAAGGCCCTCAGCAGCAGCAACGAGATCCTGGCCTCCGACTGTGATACGCCGGTGACCATGAAGGAGCTGGAGGCGGTCATGAAGCGCCACCTCGAGGCGGACGGCATCCGGCTGACCGCCCATCCATATTCCACGCCGGTGAGTCTACTTCTCATATTTATAAAATTACCAGCTTTAATTGCAAACGAAAGTGTGAAATCCTCAGCCCCTCTGATTAAAAGGGAGTTTTCTTTTTATTATGTTTTGAAATCTTTATTGTTTTGCTTTACTACTTTTAATGATACTTAACTGATGTTCCTTCATTTGCAATATCCTGTTTTCCTTTAGTTTTATGTTTAAGTAACAGCTCTGCTGCCCAGCCAAGCGATCCGAACTAAATGTGGCGGACAACCAGCCAGCGATTGCTCTTATCTATGGTCATTTTGTTTAGGGCTCTGGCAATTTGCATGCCACCTCCCCTGGGAGGGCGTGGCCAAGGGTATCGGGTATGGAAAGTGGAAAGTGGGCGGCGGATGCAACGTGTGACAGTCGTTCGGGGAGCCAGCGCTGTGTGCGCTCTAATGTGAAATTAACACGATTTTAATTTAGTTAAACCGAGTGGCCAACCAGCGAAGTCCCGCTGGGGCACCTCAACATTCGCTTCGGCCACCTTTTGACCCCGACACCCTCCTCCCGCCCACCGCCTCCTGCTGTTTTGTTTACTCTGTTATATGCATGTTGCTCCCCGGCCGGGAAATGATTTTGCATTGCGTTAATTTTGTTTATTTTGCGCGTATTTTTTGGTCACTTCTGCTGGCTCAGAGATAAAGCTCTGCATTGTGGTTCTGTTTTGGGTTTCAAAGGGGTGGAAAGAAAAGGGGGCGACAATTAAATGATCGGCTAAAAGTGCCAGGCCAGCAAATTGTGGGTTCCAGCAGGACAAACTCTGTTGTATTTATTAATACGGCGACACACGTGACAGCTAAAAGCAGTGGGCTAAAATAATAAAAATACATTTGTTTCGGTGTGGTAATAAAAGAATTTAACATTTTCGAATGGCATAAATAAATACATTTTTTCAAGTTGAACAAGTCATTTGAAACAGCATTTTAAACTAGTTTTCCCACTCAAAGTCCCTGCTCTTTCCTCCTGAAAGAAATGCATATTGAAAGGCATTTGGCAGCCTCGTTTGCGGTGAGGACTTCTGCCGCTTTTGTCCACGTTTCTGTCGGCTGGTCGTATTTGAAAACATGTCACTGGTTCAGGGCCGCCTGCATTCCGCCAAAGAAATGCAGTCCAATGCAATGCAAATAGATGCAGCCCTCCCCATTTAGAGTTATTTCCAGCGGTGAGCGAGGCGGGGCGGTGCACTTCAGCCTTGCGGGGCGTGGCAGTGGGCGTGGCGGGGGGTGGGCCCATTGAGCACGCATAGAGTGTTGACAGTTTGCCAGACACTCTTCAGATGCCGAAGCAGCTGCTTAATATTCAGGCCACGCGATCGCAGGCTTCCGCTCCAGCTCCTCTTTTTGAATTTGTTACTCAACTGGGAAAAAATAAATCAAAGTGTTTGATTACCCATAGTTGATTTATTTTACACCATTAAAATAGAAAATATAATTGCTCTATTAATATATTTCTCATACCGAAGAAGGTACATCAAAGCTATAACCTTTCTACAAGTTTTATTTAATTATTTATTTGTTAGGAAGGGTATGTAATTTTCCCTCCGTGTAGTGCCACTTCTATTCCTGTTCCGCTTCCTGTCAAAGAGGTGTGTGTGTGGAAACTTTGTCATAGGCTGCATCAGGTTCTGCTGCTTTGCATTTTAATTAGCGCCAGTTGCCGTTCTTTTTGTTCCGCGCAAGTTTACGGCTGAGTACTTGGCATAGTTTGTGCGTTAAGATCTGGTTAAATATTTACGATTGTTGTCTTTGCGGCGGTGCAAATTGAAAAGCAGCTTTAAGCCCCGAACGGAGTTGCTGCGAAGAAAGGCGGGAGGGGGTGGGGCAACAGGAGTAACAGGAGTAACAAGACTTGTTGGCTTCTGGCCCGTCTCCCCGACGTCTGGGCCATGTTGACGCGCGGCTCCAACTTCAACTAATTGCACTTTGCGCTGATGAGACAGACAGCCCTCTGGCGAGTGCGATGGGGTGGCTATGTAGTATCTGTAGTATCTCTGTGTGTCTAACTGACTGACAGCTGCAGACAAGTTGCATTTCAGCACAAATGTTTGCATGTGCATTACATGAATGCGACGCTAAATGAATTTGCCAGGCTCCAAGGAGCGAGGAACGAAGAGGGGAGTCTCGTTCTGTGGAGCTGGGTCGCGTCGAGGACGCAGGTGCAGACAGTCGCCAGATGCAGATGCAGATGCGGATGCGAATGCGGATGCGGATGCAGATGTATCTGCAAAGGAGCACGATGCTGCCGCTTCAGTGACCGCTTTGAATGTCAAACAGGACAGATTTAAGTGGCAACCTCACGCTAATTACCGGAAGATATTAACACTTGTGCGACTGCCCTGCCTGCTCCTTGCCACGGTGGCTCCTTTAAGGAGATGCTTTTGACCCTGGCCTTTGGGGATTGCGGTTAAGAAGGCTCTGGAGGTTGGTTCTTAGCCATAGATTCTAACTCCCCATTACACAGAGGGAAAATAGGAGGCTATCGTTTGGTTTGAATGAGAAAGATATAAAAGATAATTACATAAAATTATTTATAGAGAAGTTTATATTAAAACTATTACTATTACTATTTTATATTGTATTGTATAACATATAACATTTGTTAAATGGTATTCCCCTTTTTTCTCCCCTTTTCAGGAGGGGAAGCGCGGCTACTTGGAGGGCTTGGCCGCCCACTACAGCAAGCAGATCAACATGCCCTACGAGGACGTGCTGGACGCCATCGAGCAGGTGCGCCTCTCCAAGTGGAAGGAGCGCCACGTGCGCATCTCCACGGGGCACACGCTCTCCCGCCGGATGGCCGGGCCCAGCTGCAGCGGAACGGGCCTGGTCGGCTCCTCCGTGATGCCCACCAGCCACAGCCAGCCGCTCTATGTGCCCGGCAAGTACTTGGTAAGCAGAGCCCCGGCTTTTACGGTCGGAGCGCCTTTACGACCCCCAGCTAATCAGACTCTAATTCATTTCCGTTCCGTTTCGTTTATTATGCACGCTCATGTGTGAGCTTTTATGTGTACTTGCACCGAGAGAAATTTATGGCCACAATATTCGGGTGCTCCTAAGTCGGGTGATTTAATACAGAGAGTGTGGCACTTACATTGAGTTTGTTTTGTGACTAAACGAGATGGAAGCTCGAGGTGGAAAGGATGTGTTTGCCAAATAAGTTATAGTAATTTATGATATAATTTTGAATAGCTTTTAAAGTTCTTTAGATTAAATGAAGATCTGAAAGGAGTTTTAGTCTTTACAGTCTTACTTCCCATTGATCTTATAAGCTCTTACCGTATATTTAATACTTTTTAATGCGGTTTTAAACATTATATTCCAGCCGTCGAGCTGCCTGTCGAATCGCGAGGAGAACGAGATCTACAGCTACACGCAGAACGACTTGGCCAACCGCATGGCCCGCAACGCCATCGACTCCAAGTCAGCGCTGAATCTGAACGGGATGCAGCACAGCTATCCTGGAGCGAGGACCAATTTCTTTTACGACTTCTCGGCAACAGGTGAGGAGCAGCCATTGGCAATTGGCAGCTTTTCGGCGGAGGGGTTGTGGTTAGAGACAGTTTGGCGGCGGCTGTTCGGTTTTTATGGCTTTTAATTCAATTAAATTGGCTGGCGCTTAAACTTTGACTGGCTGGTTAATCAAATGACTGTCTGTTTGATTCTCGGTTTGATTGTTCGCCTCGCTGCCTCCAACTCGACTCGAACTGGGATACGGATCCGGATTGGATTGCTCAGAGGGTCGGAACAAACACAAGCAGCGGAGAACGGTCTTCGCCCGCTTTTTGCAGGGACTCCGGCAAAGTGGAGACGAGCTGAACGCCACGGAGGGAATGCAGCTGAAGGTGAGTTTTGGGGTCACAAATTTGGTGTCTCTGCCAAACAAGGTTAGCCTTTTTCCATGCGGCAGCCATTCCGTGTGTGATTTTGTCATTTCCGGTTTAGAAGCCATTTTTATTGCCTACTTTTAGGCCTTCTTCTTTTGGTTGCTCTTTCGGGGGGGAAAGGTAAACTTTGCTAAATCTCAGGAAAAAGGTTCACAAAAAAAAAGGACGGGAAATCAAGCAAATAAATAAACCCCAAAGTTCAAACAATTAATTCTTTAATGGGATACTTTTAGAGGGAACTTTTGTAAATGCTCTTGTGAATAGAAACTAATTTTGAAGAGACCTGGGATTTTTTCGGATGACAAAGTGTTTTAATAAGATACTCGAACATCAGCTTTCAGCCATATAGACATTTTGTTAGTTGTTCATTTGACAATCCCCAAGCTGGTCGGGAATTATGAAAATGGAAGGAGTTTTCGCATTTCGGTCGCGGCTTAATTCTCGGCTCCTTAATTCGGTACCAGGCGTGTCCCTTCCCCCTTCCCCCTCCCCCGCTTCCTATCTCCGTGGAAAGCCATGAAAAGTTCCATAATTTGGAGCCAACTTCAAAGCATTTCCTTGCCGCATTCAAAACAAAAACTTTTCCCGGCCCCCGACCATCCGATGCTCTGTTTAATGTCGAATTTTTGCCATGGACAAGTTCGCCGGCGAAAGGCGGAGGGCGGGGCGCCTGGGACTACTTATAAAATTAAATTAAAATATAAAAACCGCGTAAACCTACAAATAACAACGATGGCCGCAGCAACAATAGCAACAACAACAATCGCAGCAATAACTAGGAAAGTTCGCGTTCCGGGAAAAAGGAGGCGGGGCGGAAAAGGCCGGGGGCGGTGGAAAACTTTATCAAGGCTAAGCCGATAAAAGGCAATTATCGTTAATTGCGTTGACTTGCGCCGGGCGAGCGGACAAGTCGAGACCAGACAATGACAACAGAGCCGGAGCGAAAAGAGCAGGTCGGACTGGGGTCAGGGGTCAGGGGTCAGGGGTCGGGGGTCAGGGCTTCAGGAAGGGCTGCGCTGCAAGGACATGTGCCGGATGCAAATGGCAGACTGCGAGATATGAACTGTCAATGGGAGTGGGAGTGGGTTTGTTGCAAGTGCAAGTGCCAGACGCAGATGGAAATGCCGAGTGCACTCGCAAAAAGTTATGGCCTACTTCAGCTAAAAAGAGTTTCGGCAAGTTCAAATAAAATGTACTCTTTATGAATCAGTCAAATAAAATAAGTATTTTTATCGTGAAAATAAAAGAAAAGAAAAGACTTAAGCTGCATATTGGATTATCTGAAATGCTTTAAATTGTGGTACAAGAATTGTTAGGTTTAAAATATTTAAAGAAGAAATGTTTCCATCTGAATTACTTGTATTTGAAGCATTAAAAATGTTGCAGTTGGGAAAGGCTAAATTTATATTAAGCTATTCCTTCCTTTATTTTTCTGAGTGTAGAGAACTGGCTTCGCAAAGGACAAACAGGGACGAGATCGCCAATTGTCGGGGGCGTTGTCGAGGACCCGAGGAGCACGTTCCTGCAACTCCACGTTACCTGGTCATTTGCACCTTGGCGCGTTTCGGCTTTGCTGCGGTTGTTTCCCGGATGCGGAAGTGGAGGGGGATGAGGATGGGGAGCGGGATGAGAATGGGGAAAGATGGAACGAAGGGAGGAAGGGATGGGAAGGGAGCTCCCTACACACGACTGTCCTTTTCCATTCGCATTTGTTTTTATTATTTCAGGCGTGCCAAAGTGTTTTGTTTTGTGTGTCCTCGCCGTGCACTTTTCCATTTCCATCCAGCTGCCCGTTTTTTGTTTGGTTATTTCCCCGTGTCTTTTATTTCGGTTTCGGTTTGCCCGTATTTTCGGGGTCCGCTGCTCCGGCGACAGTTTATAACTTTTCGTGTTTTACGGTTGTTGTCCGGTTTTTCTTTTGTGAGTGCCGCTCCCTCCACTCGCCGGCTGTTCATTTAATATTTAAGCACAATTTGCCGCTGCCGAGGACCACGGCTGCAGATTGTCCACTCCGGTCCTCCCGAGTCCTGCGGTCAATTTCGAAAATGACTTGGGCTAAGCACTGGCGACAATTGTGCTCCGTGTTCGGGACAACTTCTTTTGTGTGTGCGGCGTGTCCTGTGGCACTCATTACCTTTCTTCGGCCACAGCTCCTGATTCTCCCGCTTTTGCTGCTGATTCTGCTGCTGCTGTTGTTTTTCCCCGGTCAAAGGTCACCCGGAGCGTGTGCTCCAGCTCCTTGACGGCACTCATTATGCGGTCTGGTGCGGAAATGCTGCTCCCGGGATGGAAAACGGGGCTTGGGGTTCCATCGCTGGCCTTTCATTACACTTACTCGGCTGCTCGCCGCTTTTCATTTGACATTCCCGTTTCCATTTGGAGTCCTGGCTGCGGTTGTTTTGAGGTGTCGATTTGTTGGGTCTGGCTCGAGTTAATGAAGTAATCATGGGTGGCCACTGAATGGCTGGAGGAGTGACGGGAAAAGCACAATTTATTCCACCTTTCAGAAAGTAACTTCCCCTAGAGGTAACAAGTGCAACTATATTTTCCAGAGTTCACTGTGATATATGCATATTTAAATTATAAAATAAAACATTTAATACATACTTTCAGACCAACGAGCGCCTGAGGAACTGCAGCACAATGAAGCGACCAGAGCCGCATCAGGACTTCGAAAAGACCATACAGAGAGTAAATATGAGAGTCCTGTTACCTCAAGTGCACTATAGTTACCCCGACTTCCTGTTGCAGCTAAAGACACAGAAGGCGGCCCAGAAGAAGCCGGCAAGTGCCCCACTGGAGATGGCGCTGCACGAGAGGAACAAGGAGGTGGCCCACACCCACGTGAACGAGATGCCGCTCAACAATTACACGAAGCATCCCTAGGACTCGGCCCTCGGCAGCGCAGCTGCTTAGATCCTTCGGCCAGGACAACCAGCAAACAGGAGACAAACCCACTCTCACTTATAGAAATCGTTGAATCAATCATTATTCTCAATCAGGTGATACACAATCTTAAGGAAGCAGGATCATGATCTAAAGGATGAGGCTAATAAGTAGGAAAGAAATTATATAGCAGGCCAACGAAGCAATATCAGTGCACTCACACAGAAACACTTACGAATAGGAGACAAATAGCCATAGGAATAATATCTGCAGCGTTGAGTTTACTTACCCATAGGACTAATTGACAGACCACCCAACCTGATCAGCACCCGAGTCCACTGTATAGACACCTGACCATTAATGAACAGTAAGCCTAGTCTAAGCAGCACTTCGCCTCCCCTTTCGCCCACTGCTACAATATCCACACTGCACAGAGAGAAATAACCCATCAAGACACCCGCTAAATTTTTTGTTTTCTTCAATTAAATTATAAATATATATAAATAGGTAGGCTTTCCAAATATGTATCAAAAGATTTTAAATGTTCTTGAATATTTCTTAAAATCTAAGGAACTTAAAACCAATATCACTTCCAGTTATTCTATTGCATTTTCTATTATCCAACTTACCAGTATCCATTTGGTAGATATTTTTTTCTCTGTGTGCGTACTCCCAACCAATTCCCAACCAGAACCAATCTCGAAATGCTCTTGCCCCGAAGTCTATCGGCAATTATTTGAACACCCCGAGAAAGCCGCCGCAGCAGCAGTCTGCGAATGCATCGACAACTGGCCGGGGAATGTTGACAAAACGCAAAAATCCAACAAGCTTAACGCTAAATCAACACGCACACACCCGCCCGCACAAGCACACGCACACACACACACACACACACACACTGACATCCGCAGCCACACTCAGAGCCACACTCACACAGAGGCAGGCCGGCAAACTTGCTCTAACCGCAGACGTTGCACAGACACGAGGACCAGAGGACGGACGGATACAGATGCGGATGCGGATGCGGATTCGGCTCTGGCATTTCCGTTTCAACTTGGCACTGCATCGATTTTGGTCTTTGGTTTTTCGGGCTGCAGCTGCCGGCGGAATCAACCTGAAGCCGAAACGGCCGCTCTGCCATTTGCCTTTTTGCATTTTAATTGCATGTTGCGCCCGAAAGTATGCAACTTGTCCGGCCTCTGCGTCTGTGTGCGTGTGTGTGCGTGCGATTGTCCTTCTTTCTTGCCATGTGTGTGTGTGCGTGTGCGAGGATAGTGATGGGAATTTCTTCGCGTGGGTCCTATTTTGTGTCCTTTTAAACTGAGCTAGGTACTTCAAATCGCTACTAACAAAAGGTTTATCCAGTAGACTAAATACAGCGTTTAATTTTAATAGTTCACTTTTCAGTTTTCATTTTTATTAGTAACAATATATTTTTCCTTAACCACTTTAGACCTCTTCGAGGTACACTTACCATCACTGTTCGGTGATAGAGGATGCGATTTGCATTTTTGAGCCGGGCAAAGGCATTTGAAATTCGTTTTTAATTTTGTTTGCTCTCTGGCCGAAAGGCTTCAAAATGGTCGATGGCCATTTGCTCGCGGTCGTCTTTGTCATTCCACCAGCTCCAGTCCCCTGCCCGAAAAAATAGGGGGAGCAATCCTGGAAAGTTCTGGCCATTTCGCCGCTGCAGCTGCGTTTATTATTAAATGTCTGCGGCGCGGAGTTGAGCTGCCAGAAAATTGAAACATTTAGCGGCTACGTGAGTGCGTTTGCCAAGGGTTCTGCGGCCGTTTTTGGGGCCCGTTTCCGGTTCCGCCTGTCGCCAGAACTGCAATTAGCTTAAGCACTCGACCCACCCGAAAACCCATCGCACTCCGGCCAAATTTTGCGGCTGCCATTTCGCATTTCATAATTCATTTTTTATTCGATTCCCTTCCAGCGTGCGTTAACGTGCAATTAACCCTGCCAGGCCTCGATGATCATTTTATTTAAATTTAATTAAATGCAGCAGAGAATCCGCCAGCCAACCAGCAACCAGCAATAGTGAAAATAGTATAGACAAACAACAAAATGCAAACAGTGAAAAAAGGTGAAATTAAATATAGGCAAAGTGAAAACAAAGCAACAACTCTGAGCGGGCAGTCAAGTGTAAAATTGTGCGCCAGTTTAATATACATATAATTGTTTAACTACCAATATATAGGCATATGCATACATACATAGATACGAGTACATACATATAGATATCCATACAGCAGCACAGCCAGTTAAATGGCCAAAAACAATGAGAGCAATCGGCATAAATAGACCAGGGACAGCAATTAAAGCGTAAACTGTAAAATACAAAGTCAAATTCAGCCTGCCACGCTCGCTTTAATTCGGATAAAAATAAATATAAATGATAAATAACAAATAACAAATAGTGAAAACTGATTGAGAAGAGCTCACCATCGAGATAATAATAGCCATAGCCATAGCATTCGCTGCCAATCAGGCGAGAGGCGATTTGCCATTGATCCATTCCTGTGCTAGGTGACCAGGACAATTAATTTATGCGTAAGCCCAATCATAATTTAAATTAGGACCTCCGGAGTGGGCCATAAATCAAGGGGCACCTCCATTGACCCGCTGCCAAATCGAGTTCTCGGCAGGTTTTGCACGACCAAGTGGGCAGTCGACCACAATAAATCACAACAAACAGAGAAGATGAGCAGAAGGACGCCAATCCGAACCTGGATCGGAGGACTCCGGGCTCGGCAATTAGGCTTACGGATATATAATTATTAATTTATTATGGATATTGATGACTTACGGTCCCAAATACAAATATACACCAGCAAATATACGCCTACATTTAGCCACATACGAGTATTTACAATAAAGTTTGATGGTCGGACATCGACAAATTTCAATTTACATACGTAAGTGTTTAAGCAAAATGCCAAAGCATTTCAAATGCAAATGGAACAGAAACGACAAAAAATCGGCAAATTGATTGCCCAAATAAATAAATAAATAATATTTATGAAAATAGAGCACGCGCGAAAGCGTGTCAGAATTATCCACATAAACATAGCGAATATATTTACACACATTTGTATAGTTATATGTATACACCCCTAGCATATACAATGTTTAAATAAATATTTAGCGAGCGTATGCCCCGAATGTTTTGCAATTGTAATCAAAACAAAAAAATTGGCAGAGTCGCAAAAAGAGTGTAGCAAAATTTGCATACGTTATATGGAAAATAAAATATTTATAAAGTTCAGTTCTCCTAGAAATAAAGAGTTTTTCCGAAATGTACAACAATTTGAAGTTTTGATGGGAATTTGATACAAATTGAAAAGAATCGGCTAAGAAATAAAAAATTAACTTATGATAACTAACATATTCGTCTGTTGTAATCTTCTATTAGGTCATGGGTATGGCGAAGAACAGAAGAAGGCCTACTGCGAACTCATCCCCACTCATCCAGGAAATCCACGCGGCAGCCAAGGCAGCGAACGGAGACACAGCGTCGGACTAACAATAAATTAGACTCGCATTTAAGATAGTTATACTTATTTATGTATTATACTTATTATACTTATTATGTAAAAAAAATAAATAAAAATAAAATAAACTACATATATCGAAATTGTAACATACTTTTGGGGCTCTCACAAAATGTGCTGTTGCGTTTTTTGGTCATTTAAATTTTTCATAAAAATTTGTAGCATACTTTTGGGGGCAATTAAAAAAATCTTAAAAAAGATTAGCCACCTACTCTTGCATTCTGTTCGCCTGGTACTTCAAAATGAAGTTTGGTTGAATATGTAGGTCTTGGTTGAAGGATTCTAACGAGCAAATTTGTGACACTTAGACCTAAAGTAACAGGTCAACAGAATGCATTAGTAGGCGTTTTTGGGCTGTGTAAATGTTGCATAAAAAATGTGTAGCATACTTTTGGGGGCAATTGGAAAATCTTAAGAAAAAATAGATTTGCCACCTACTCTTGCATTCTGTTCGCCTGGTACTTCAAAGTGTGGTTTGGTTGAATATGTTGGTCTTGGACGAACGAGAAAGTTTGTCCAATTGTTCCCAATAGTATTTTTCTCCCAAAAATAAGACACAATTTCGATAGTTCCATATGTATGGTAGTTATATATGTAATAATACATATAAATATTCCCTAGGCTTATCCTGTACATTTTGGGATTGTATAAATCTGGTGAGTCTTAGATGCGCCTCTAGTCAATTATCTATTGTTCATTTTAGAATCCAACGCTGTGTCCCCGTTCGCTGCCTAGGCTGATGCCATGTGGATTTGCCGGATGAGTCGGGAGAGCAGTTCACAGCAGGCTTCTGTCTGTTCTTCGCCACATACTTGTCCTGAAATAAGGTTACAAAACAAGAATACATTAGTTACAAGATAATTTATAATATTAATTTTGACATTAAGATTTAAAATAACAGACCTACAGAATGCATTAGATGGCGTTTTTTGGTTGTGCAAATTTTCCATAAAATATGTGTGGCTTACGTTTGGGAGCTAGTAAGAAATTCGAAGAGGAGCCACCTACTTTTGCATCCTGTTCGCCTGGTAGTTCATAACGAGCTTTGGCTAAGATAAAACTCTTAAAAATTTTAGAGGTATGTCACTTTAAATAAAGACAATGACTTAGAATTATGAATTTTGGTGAATTTTATTATATTGAAATGGGAAAAATTCAATGACCGCCTTTAAATTACGAATCCTTTATAGTTGAAAGTAAGGCCACATTTTACGTTGTTAATTTTAAAAATCAGTTTCTAGGAAAAGGGACAAAATGACACCACCTCTGGGTGGGTAAAATTGAGGAGTGGGCTTCCATCAATGTCGCCGTTCTTCCACGTGCTCCTCCATATCTTCATGTTGCCGCTGGCGGATGATTGATGATTGCTCTGACGCTTCCTGCAAGCTGAGATTGCCGTAAACCTCCTGCTTCTTTTAGTTTCAAAATCACAGGAAGCAAAGTGAGTCTTACGCGTTACAAATAGCGCTCGAGCACATCAACGATTTTCAACGACTACAACTTTAAACACTATTAAGTAACCGAGAAATGAGATGGTGCGTCACTAAATGATAATTAGAACCTACCCTTTAATTTCTGGCAATCAAAACAAAACAAAGTCCGGAGATAAAGTTGCGAGTCTACCCCATAAATTCTCTTGAATTGCATAGATTAAAAAAAGTGATAAGGCTTCTTGGATGTAAATTGCAAATGATTACGTTTAAAAATTTTTTAAATGAATTTTCTGTCTCATCAGCTTACCAACTGCTTGGTCGCCATAAAAATATATGTACGTAGGTAAGTTCCCACAGCTCAAATCAGGGTTTGCAGATTCCCTCGTATCCTATTAAAACAAATGAAAGCAATTTGTGTGAAAACTAAGGGTAAGGCGGGGTACGAGTTCAAAAAAACAGAGATGGGAGTGCAGTGGCAGGTTTCTACTCGAATATTCCCAAACAAATATGCAGGCCACCCCGAACCCTCGATCCGCACATTATTCGAACCTCGAACGTGTCATTGTAAGTTCAAGTGTAGCCAAGAGTGGAGAAGTCAGCAGCAGCAGCAGGAGCAGGAGGAGGAGCAGAAGTCCTCCAGCTGACTCCGCCGGAGCGGACGAGGACGAGTGGCGATGATGATTGCCGGCGTCGCCAGGAGGATGGAAGTCGGGGACTTTTCGGGGCTGGTCCGATGATTGTGATGGGCACAAAAGCCAGCGGCTCATGAAAAATGCATGCGACTCGGCTGCCTCATATGTTTTATGGCTTGTTGAATTCCGTCGCTGGTCCCCTCATGATTCCCCCTACTATTCCATCCAGACCGTTGTAGTTCAAGTTGTAGTCAAAGTCGCCTCGCATCACTGCCATGGCCTGTTAAATTAATAAAGGACAGCAGCAGGACCCTGACAAAAATGCCGCATGCGGCCAAAGTTGAGGTTTGTTTTTCAACAGCTGTGCAGGAAAAGCGGCCGGAGTCAGGGATAATATGTTTAATTTTCCCAAACATATTTCCCTAGCTCCGCTCCCGGCTTTTTCATTTGTTATTTCGGGTTTTCGGGCTAGTGTTTTCTTTGATTTCCGTGTGCCGAGGGCCCCAACAAAGCGCATTTGTCTAACCAACTGGAAGCTCCCCTCCAATCCCCAAACCCCCGCTTCGTATCTCGCATTTTTTTATAAATTTTAATTTCCGTTTGCATTTTGCACGTTTTTCATAATTCATGCTCTCGAAGTAACTAGATTGATGAGAACCGTTTCCAGGCGGGCATTTGCGGGCTGTCCACTGGGCTTATCCCCACCCACCAGCCGCACCACCCAACCACCCAACCAGCCAGCCATCCAGGCGAACACCACACCGCCACTCACATGCATAATCGTGCGGAAATGCCAGACACACTAAGCTGACCCGGCCAGAGTCTTACTTATATATAGTACGTACATAAAGATACGAGTATATCTATAGATACGTGTACTCGAGTGTGTGCCAGTAAATCGCAGTATCTGAGCCGAGGCATCACCAATCACCCTGCACCACCCACTCCGCGCCGGCCCACTCCACCCTGGTCGATCTCAACCCTTTGCCGAAACAGCTGCCTTGGCTGAAAGTCCTGCTTGATTCCGCCGGAGTTCCTGTTCGATGCACAGAGATTAAATTATATTCAAATATTGTATATAATATAAAAATATATTTATATATTAATTACTTTATAGCAGATGTATGTAGAATAACTACGTAGTTTTCAGATAAGAATGATTGATCATAAAAGGATTTAGTTCTAAGGCATCCGAACAATAAAATCTGATTTTATTCACATCACTTCAGTGAACAACCAATATATTATTACACTTTTCCCCACGTGTAGTGCGGCTGCTGGTGGTGCTGCTGCCGGTGGTTCTGCCGCTGGTGGTGGTGGTGGTGCATCCCCACAGGGCCATTGACTAATAGGATTTGAAGAGCGTAAAATTGGTTCGTTGTGAACATGAAATATGCAGTAAATCCTTTTGCGCCCCGCTGCCGTCCGTGTTTTCCTTTAATATTTGCTGCAACGATGTTGCAGCTTAAATATTCTTACCCCGCCGGCAAGGGCCTGACTTCTGCTCTCTTTCCCCGGCGCCGCCCTTTCGTCCTGACCCTTTTCGTGAAGGCCAATGCACGCGCAGTTTGTTGCAATTTCGCGGTTCGATTTTCCCCCGGCTTTCCACCCCCCAATCCATCCCACCGAACTTTTCCAGCGTTGTCGTCGTCGTCGCGGCGCGATGGTGTGTTTTATTATCACAAATAAAGCGCAATCACTGTTGTGGCACCCGCTTCTTGCGCCCAATCCCACCCACTTTTCCACTCCGCCTTCCACATTTCCACATTTCCACTTTTCCGCCCACTTTCAGCCACTGAAGGAAGCCCGAGCAAGCATTGCATTTTTCATGTCTGGATTTCGTTCGTGTGGCAGCCTGAAATATTGCAAATAGTTTGGCTCCTTCTCAATTGCGTGAAATATGAAAAACCCCGGGAAAATTTGTAGTAGAGCCTCGCCTCGTTGCAGCGGCAATGCACTGCAGATTTACTTTTCCTGCGCTGGCTGGCATTGCAGTCTCCTAATGTTTGCCTCTTTAATTGTCCCTGTTGCTGCAAATGGCCGGGCATTTGTTTTCATTACTGCCAGGACGAGAAAGCCCAGGACGAGCTGGACTGGCGAAGGACTGGTCCTCAAGACTGGCCGAAGCTGGGGGGTAATTTGGATACACTGGAGAGAAAGAGCCGCGTCTAAACCTTGGTTACTTTTAAATAGTAAAGCTAAGAATGCGTACTCAGATTAAAGTTATATTTTTTGATCCGCTTCGCTTTCTAAATAAAAGAAGCTTCGTTCCGATTTTCAGCAGACTTTGCTGCAGTGTAATAGCCTTGGCTGGCGACAGCGATAATTGTGAGCCGTATTTATGCAGTCCTTAAGAAGGCCGCTCCTCGCTCCTCGCTGCTCGAAGCGAATGCCCGGGAATCCCTTCTAATGCCGCTCAGCCGGCTGCCAAGGACTTTCGCCGGCCGTCTTACTACTGAGGCTAAGCCGCCTCAAGACTCCGTCCGCTGCCCCCATCGTTCATTCAACTGCAGCTTGGCTGACTTCCGGCGTTGCCTTTTATGATAAATTGAAACAAATAGCCACCGACACCGGCTCAGAAAACACTCACACCCACGTTCACTCACACAGAGAAAGGGGCGCAGGACCTGGCTTATCAGAAAATTGCGCTCAGCTGTTTATGAAAGCATAACAATGTTAGCTGGCCCGGCCATTACCGAGCTCCGTCTCCAGCTCCAGCTCGAGCTAGAGGTCCAACCCAGGGCCAACATCAACATGATCATCAAACTGAATGGCTGCTCCCGCTCCTTCTTATCCTCCGTTTTGGGTTGGCTTGCTGGCTGGCCGTCGCAGCACATAACTCACAAGTAGGATAAACAATTTACTTATCGCCGCTGCAGCCACGCCAGATGGAGTTGGTAGCTGGAGCTGCTTACCCTTAGAAGGAGCAGCAGCAGGAGCAGCAGCAGGACTAAGATTCAGTCTCCTTCGCCTGAGACGTTGCCACATCAGCGCGCCACATTGGCAAATAAATCATAATAAATAACTTGAAAAACGAAACACCTTTGCGCACAAAAGTTGCACGTCCTGTTCCTGGCAAGCCGTACGAGTAAAACTTTTTACCGAACCAAGAAGGTTGCTTCAAGGAGGGTTATAGCCCTCTTGTGAAGGGGTTTTAACTTGCCAAATGCAGCGAAAAGCTGTGAAAATCTGGAGGGATTTAAAAGGCACTAGCTTATTTTCAATGCATTTAAATATAACATTTTAGATCAAGATTGTTTTCTTAATTCTTTTTAGTAAATTTGTTTCTTTTATCTTACAACTTTCCCGTTTAGACATTATTTTTTATCAACCCCTTTCGTTTTGTAAGAGCATCCCCACTTCGTCTTACCCAATTATATTCCCTGAAATACTTCTCGTTTTCGTTGTCGGTGGGCTTCGGTGTTAGTGGCTGCTTACAGTTTAGCACTTGGCCAACTCGCAGCCAGAGAGAGAGAGACAGGCGAGGCGAGGGCTCAATTCCTGCAACTGTTGATAAAAATTGATACATAACTTGCATAAATCAGGCGCCTGCCGCGCATTACGCATACGCCATGTGTGCTCTGTGCTCTGTGCTGGTGGCGCATCATTTATTAAATTAGCCACAGCATTAGCCACCCCAGGTAATTTGTAAATTTCTGACAGATGCGCTGATAAACTCATTGCCGGGATTTCTTTGTGCGCCGATGGTCGGGCGTTCGGTTCGGCTGATTTGTGATTTATACGGGTCTTATTACGGCTGCCTACATAACAATACTTTATTCGCAATACTTGGGGCCAAACTTAACGTAACATCACAAGGGGAACGTGAGCGGTGAACGGCGACGGGAATCGATTGCCAGCGAGAACCATGGAGGAGTTCGCAGGTCTCGAGGATTCCGGTCTTCGTGGCTTCAAGGCGCCGTCTCCGAGCGTCTGAGCCTGGTTAACTCCGGATGGGATGACAGGCTGTCGTCCGTCTCCACCGCCGGCGGCGGTTTCGGCAGACTGAAGAATTTCTGTAAATTAAATTTGTGAAAAATGAAATTAGGCTACGGCTGCTTTGCATAATTTAGATTATAAATTAGATGTGCCAGCAAAACTCCAGCGTGGCTCAATGCTCACGGAGCGGAAGAAGGTTGAAGAACTCTTGCCAATTTGGAGAAAGTAATTACAGTGAAATTGCCTTGCTGCTTTTATATTTTAAGTGCCATGTTTGCTCGTAAGACTTTCGAATTTATGTTGCTTATGATTTGTATACTCGAATCTATCCTTTTAGGAACTAATATCACTCTGAAAACTGAATAGAGGAGTTTAGATGCACTCACATCGTGTTTGCCAAAGTGACCGGCCTCCTCCAAGGTGTCGGGTAGCTTTTTGTGGAGGGTCTCCGGCAGGAAGAGCGCTCCGATGCCGCCGAGCAGGAAGAGGACGCCCAGGATGTAGTACGGGGCCCGGATGTCCACGGTGGTGCCGAGGTAGACCAGGTAAGGAGCGAGGACGCCGATGGCGTTGGCCAGGATGGTGCCCAGGGCCACGCCCGTCTGGCGCATGCACGTGGGGTAGATCTCCAGGCACTGCAGGTTCACCGTGAAGAAGGTGAGTGCGTTGAGGAACTTGATGAAGGTGGCCAGGTAGATCATGAGGCTCTCGTACCGCTCGTCCGTCGAGTACACGATGATGGGCAGACAGGTGACGAACGAGACGAGAAACGACACCGAGTTGGTGAAGCGCCGGCCATATGTATCACCTGGGGAAACGGGATAAAAGAGACGACTCCGGTGATGGACTGCTCCAATCAGCGTGGCGCCACGCCCCGCAGCACTCACCCATGTAGCGGCCCACCACGTAGGCGGGGATCTCCACGACGCTCTGGTAGAGGAAGTTCAGGAACGGGTTGCCCGCCATGCGGGAGCTGAAGAGCACCAGCGTGAAATAGGAGACGGCCACCACGCACCTGCAATCGGGTGAATCGGCAGTTAGACATGCAAATTGCTTTCGGTGGGAAACATTCAATACAGTCAGGAAAATAAGTAAAATCTCAAGAGTTTGTTTTGGGTTTTAGGCAAGGAAGTAACTTTTAAAATAAAAGAGCCTCAATAACTTTATCAGGAATGTCTTTCAATTATCAAGGAAGGTAATTAAATAAATTTTACTTTGATTGTTTGTTGATAAGAATAATGAATTCCTAGTTCTGATTCAATACAAGATTAAGGGTTTAGGTATTTCTCTCAGTCTATTCTCGTTCCTCACCAACTGAAGCCCATGATGATGGTGTTGCGGGCCAGCCGCCAGCCAGCGAAGAGCGATGCGATGCCGTAGGTGACGTCCTGCTTGTCCCGGCTGTAGATCTCGGCCAATTCCTTCTCGGTCATGTCGAATCGATGGCCGTTAATTTTGGCTATCTTCTGCAGCTGGACAATGGCCTCGCGGAAGCGCTGCTTGCTAATCAACCATCGGGGCGATTCGATTACGTATCTGTGCAGGAAATTCAAGATTGCTCAGTTTAAACATGGATTAAAGGTATGGGTATCTACAGGATTATGTGTGATGTTGATTGTATTTACTTGTGACATTTCATAATTAAAAGAAATTGACCAACAGACGAACTAATTAATGTCACAAAAGAAAGGCAGGAGATGATTGGATTTTGGGTCTGGGATGCGTGACTTACTTGGAGAAGAGCAGGACCATCGCCGTGGGCACCGAGGTGAGCCACATAAAGGAGTCCCAGTGGCGCAGCCACCAGTAGAGCAGGGGCATCAGGGTGGTGCCGATGGACCAGCCGCAGCTCTGGAAGAAGGCAATCCGACTGCGGTCCTCCCTGGACGCAATTGGAGTGGGTCAGCAATAAAAGTTGGACGGAAACTTTGGCAAAACTTACTCCCGCGAGATCTCCATGCCGATAATTTGGGGCGACTGGAAGAGGCTGTTCACGGTGAGGCCCACGATGCCGGACATGATGAGGAACCACGTGTACGAGCTGGTGCACATGATGGACCCAATGCGGCCCAGGGAGCAGAACACCACGCTGATGTAGTACACGAACCTGCGGCCGTAGCTGCGGCCAAGTGGACAAATTCAATTACCGCCGCTGCCATAACTTAGTTAGGTGGAAGTCGCGCTACTTACGAGTCGCCCATTTGTCCCAATATAAATGAGCCGGCCACCTCCGTCACACGACCCACCACGAACACATTTGTCACGAACAAATCCTTGGCGCACACCCAGTTGTGGTCCGTCGGGATGGTGCTCTCGTACCAGGTCCTGTCGTAGCTCCAGCCGTCGCGGCAGGCTGAAAGCAGGAGGGGATCGGAATGGAGTGGCGGTCGTAAAGCGCATTCGAGTGCAAAGTTGCAAATATTTATAAGACAGCGGGGGCGGCAGCCAAATGCCAAGCAATTTCGCCACTAATCCGGTGAACGTATGTATTTACCTTCCCTTCAAAGTTGTTTGACGGAAAGCGGGGCGCTCGATAAACATTTGGCCGTGAGCCCAGCACTTGATGAGGTTTAACAGAAAGTTAACACAAGTAAATAAGTGCACATAAAGGGAATAAAAAAGTCATGTGACTTGGGAGTTGTTTGATAAATTTTAAGACTTTAATTTATTGGAAAAGACGCCAGGGATAATAATTTTTATGAAATGCTTTTAAGGGAGCTTTCCGGTTATAAATGTTCACGAAAACTTACGAATCTAATTCAGATTTTTTCCCATTTACCTTCTGTTTTTGTTGTCCGCTTGCTAATGTTCCAAGCCGACCAGTCCGAGATCTCTGAGAAGTTCGTCTGGAACATCTCGCAGTTGCTGAAGGTGGCCCTTCCACGGTTGTCCGCCTGTCTGTTCCGAAACGAGATTCAGTTCCTGATATCTGCTTGGGGTTTTTCCACTTACTTGGGCAGGGTGATGTCCCGCCATTCCTCCAGCGAGAAGTTGGTGTTCTCCCTGCCTGCCACCGTGCACCAGTGATCGGGGATGTTGAGGGCCAGGATGATGTTCATGTAGATCATGGCCCCGCAGAAGGCCAGTCCGCCGACGAAGACGAAGTTGTAGAGGGTTTGGTAGCGGCCGTGGTTGCCAGCCTTCTCCATGAGCGTTTGGAAGGGATCGTTGAACTCCGAGTCGTCCACGTCCATCTGGGAGAAGTGTCCCGAGACCTGGGAGGCCTTGCGGCTGTTCGCCTGCTCCTTCTTGTCTCTCATCTTGCACTACCAGTATTCAAAGTGGCTAGGTCCCAGTCAGTCGTAGGGCCCGATAAGCAGGCTAATCTTTATGGCATCTGGGCCTCAGAAGAACTCCGCCGGATGAGGAGATTGCTCGGCAATTAGCTCTGGTTGATTATCGGGGGTTCCTCACGAAGCACTCGTCGCAACGCCAGTTGGCGCCAATCCGGTGTTAAAATCTTTAAATTGTGGGTATAAAAGCGCGTTGAGTCATAACTTCCAAATTGCTACGAAATTATACGATTCGTTTGTTTGGAGAGCATAAAATCATTCACGATTGCCGCTCTAAACATTAAGTCGTACTTTTCCTATTGATGGATGTTTATTCACTTGGAGAAGAAGTGTTTACTTGGGAGATAGCAGAGCAATAATGCTCTTAAGTTTTATCTTTGAACCATAAATATTATTAAGTTTTATGTTAACATAATAAATGCGGTCTTATTTAATTTTTCCGTTTCAAAAACAATTATATCTGACCATTCGTAAAGATATCAGATGTTTTACATAAACCAGATATTATGTTTATCACTACTTTTTGATTTAATCACTTACCACAATTTGTTGTAGCAAAAAACGTGGGTAGTTGATTGTCTATTAATGAAATTCTTTTCACTTTGAATTGGTAAATCGGCTTTAAGTTTTCTTTTGTTAACAGTTTTTAGACTTCATCCCAATCTGAGGGAAATTTGGAAATGTAAACGATTCTGGCCGGCTGTGCTGCACTTTTCACATCCCGCCGCGAAACGGTTGAACTTTTGGTTGTGGCGCCTGCGAGAGCTCATCAACTGTGGCCAACACACGACGGTGCTGTTCTGAGTGCCCGAACGGCTGTGCGGCGACTTATCAGGCCAAGACGGGCATTATAAAACGAATTACTGATAACAGAACGTCTATCTGATTTACACAAATGTGTTTAACCATTGCGAGAGCCGGCACTCCGAACCTGTCCAAATTGGTCTGGATGTGACGGAACGGTTGCCCCGTTGAGCAGGTTATGTTTTGCCGCTGGGCCACGAATCTAATCACCTTTCTCCACTGGCACTGATAAGGGCTCTGTGGGTCATCATGCTAATCACTGGGGCCGCAAAACAAACGGGTAATGGACATTTAATAATGCGAGAATTGTATAATATGTGGATAGTCGTAAAACTGTTTACATTTCGAACGCTGACAGTTGCACAAAAGGAACTCTTCTGATTGATATGGGGCTTCGGGGCGATTGCAGATGCAATCCCATCTTTACAGAGGCCATAAGCCAGTAGCCCACGAGATCGTGGGCCTCCGAGCAGATAAGATAGACAATACAGACAATAGATCCCACTCGGAGTACAAACACAATTCGGGGCCCAGACAAAGGCAAAGAAAGCGGGATAATCCTAGGTTATGGCTCCGAACTAAACCCCTTTTTTTTAACAACTCCCACTGCACTTGCACTTTGACGTTCGCGTTTTATCTCGAGTTTGGGCACCGTACTTCTTGCGCTGTTTCTATATGCTTATTAGATCAGATAAACGATTGTATTTTGTGCTCTGCTCGAGCTGCTGCCGCTTTTGACTGTCAACTGTGACTGAAACCAAGCCGAGAACACATTGCCGGCAATGAGGTAGGTAGAGTCCAGCTGGCTCGGCTTGTGCAAATGCAATAATATCAATTTTCATATTTTCATATACTGGACTGGTCCGAGCGAAAGACAAAGCAATTTAACAATTTACTAAAGCACTTAAGCGCAAATTCAGTTCCCGGCCGCCCGACTAGACGCTGTAAAACTAAGCCAGCGACGACTGTCACTCTATGAATAAACATCATCATCGTCGCCACGTTGAGCGGCCAAGCAGCAGATAGTATAGATCTGGGATAAGGAGTGGATCTGTAAATTTAATCAGAGCAGATTACGTTGGCGCTGCGCTAATCTATTGACTGTCACCGACACCAAGTCACCGGAGCGCGTCGCAGATTCAAGGGTTCCTGGTTCGGAGATCGCTTACATTTCAGTACTCTCGAGTTGGGCTTAGGTGAATCACTTGAGCGGCCGAGGTCACTCGCTAGATTCCAATTGCCGGGAACTCATAGCTCATAGCTCCCTCCAAATTGCTTCTTAAAGCCATTGAGGCGGCCTCTTTTGCCCGATCAAAAGCTGGATGGCGTTTAAGTAGAGGTCTTCCCTTCGAGAAATAAATGGGAGCGGAGCCAAGGGTACCAGAAAGTCAATGCCAATAAGTGCCAATGAAGGTAATGACCATACGCAAATACATACGTTTATCCCATCCAAAATAAAAACACTCCACGGCAGTATTTACTTTTTAGATATGTTCACTTTTATTTAAAGAATTTTGCTTTGATTTATGCATAAACATGAATCATCGTTCTCCACTTCGTTTTGGTTTTTCTGAAAATTTCTTCTAAAATTTACTGAACTCTGAATACTTTAGTTTGCGCTCTCGTTTTACTTTGTGTATTGGAATTTACTGGTTTTGCAATTTGCAATTGTAATGTGTTGACTTAATGATCAATTTTGTGGCTCCTTGTAAGGTTAAACTTTAATATTGCTTATATATTCATTCTTTAAATTACATCATTTTACAGTGATAATTAGAAAATGCTAGCACATGCTGTGTGGTTGTGTTCGTTTGTTGTTTGTTTGCTTCTCGTTTCGTCACTAAATATATAAATATTCTTCTGCTGACTTTGTTACAATTTACAGTTGAAACACTTAAACGTAATTTGGATAGTTTTATTTAAAAAATGCCTATAATTCAGTATTCCTCTTCCCCTCACAATATATCCGTCTCTCTAATCTTATCTTCGTCTGGCTGTAACACGTGCGATTTGTTTGTCGTTTAAATTTGATTTAATTTACTTGCGATTAAAGTTAATTGAGTTACAATACGAATATCGATATCTTATGTTCACAAAATATGTTCAGGTTTAATTACGTTCTGAGTAGAAGTCAAAGCGTTTTCCGAATAAACTCATTTACATTTAGTCGATTGCTATGTAAGAATCGTATGCTCTACGCTAGGTTATGCTATGTGTATGTACTTTAATCAGTTTAAATTTTAATATGTTGTTCGTAGTTTTGTGCCTTGATAAATATTTCTCATTTATTTAACTAACTGATGGAAACTGATTAAAAACATTTGCGCTGCCTGACTAATTTCATTGTCTGCTTTTGATTATCGCTAAATCGCTCATAGTGGATACGTTTGATATCTTCTATAAGTGGCATAATAAACCCTAAATGGATCGCAATCCTCTATATGTACACACGATCCGGACACGACTCGCTACGATTTGAAAATATTGCTTAGCGTACATTGTTTTTTGCTCGATTTGGCAATTTTCGGCATTATTTTTACAAGTTTCTGACGGATGCTTTCGTTCCCTTTACATTGTCCTTATACGAGTTTAACAAATTAAAATTAGTTTCGAATGGCAGTTGGTGTTCTGTTCTTCTACTTATGTTCATTTCACTTCATTTTGTTTTGTGTATAAATATTTGTTTCGTTTTGTTGTTAAAATTGAATTGGTCTATTGCTCGCACCCCCAATTGGCGCCTTAAAATAGGAATCAACTTCTATGTGTGTCTGCTATTAAAACGCTGGAAATGAATCTATGTAAAATGCAATTCAAGTTGGACGTTTTCACAATATCACGTTGAGAATTATGCATACACAAGGCAATTAAACAGTAAACAAATGGCAAATCAAACGAGTCTCGTTCAATACAATAGCTTGAGGCCAACTGAGAATAGTCGAAACGTTTTCGTTACGTCACTAAGTATATAAAATTTCTCTTTTTCTGCAGATGTGTATGTATAATATATAATAAGTCTGTATTTATATATAGGTGTTGTATATCTCATATGTAAATGCCAACATTATCGGAGGAAGGATTGACTGACTCTGACTAACTCTGCTCCCCATTTCCATCTTAATTTCCACACGTCCATCCCTCTCTACTTTTCCCACTATCCCGCTCTCTTTCCCTAACTGTCTGTCTATCTCTCTCTATACATACTATACATTTGAACTGAAAGACGCGTGTTGGCCTTTTGTTTTCACTATCGAATCACAGCAATTGAAATACACTTAACTCAACGGGAGACTAAACTAAGAACTTGATGTAGTAAATGGGTTATTGATCCTCCAGTCGGTCGTCCTGATCCTGCAGCAGCTGCACTCCCACGCCGGAGGCTCCTGATCCTCCGTTTCCGGCGGTGCTGCTGCCCGTGTTCTTGCGCAGGTGGTTGCGCAGCATCACCAGGTTCCGGTTCAGCGGCAGGTTGCCGGACAGTCCGCCGCCGCCGCCGGAGGAGGAGCTGGGTGCGTGCGGCAGCGTGTTGCAGATGTTGCCCAGCGGCGCCGAGTGGGCGGTGGGCGAGGTGGCGGTGGCCACGCCGTGCGGCGTCAGGGTGCCGGTGGTGCCGTGGCCATGGCCCAGGCCAAGACCCAGACCCATCCCCACGCCCATTCCAGAGCCCACGCCCAGCAGCAGCTCGTGCGCCAGAATGGTGGGCAAATGTTAAGTGCTGCTCTTCAGCGGACCCGACGATAGCGAACTGCTGCTGACCCCCGAATCGCTCGACTTCTCGCTAAGCCCTCCACGCGTGAGCGTATCGTCCGCCATAAGGCCGTTGCCGCCGAGAAAGGACTTCTTGCCCAACCGCCCGCCGCCGGGCAGGGTGGCCTTGAACGGGTTGTCCTTGCAGCGGCGGGCGCTCTCCACGCGCTTCATGATCTCGCTGGAGCACTTGGTCACCACGTCGTCCAGGCTGTTCGACTCGTCCGTCGAGTTCACCGCCTGCGTGGGCGTCTGCGAGCTGGGCAGCGGGGATCCCTCGTAGCATCCCGAGTCGCGGGGGAAGTGCCTCCGTCCGAAGGGCGAGGCTCCGTGCTTGATGTTTATGTTGTTCAGGCGGGCCTCATCGTTTTCGGAGCTGGATCCGGCTATGTCCACGTCGGAGCCTGTGCGGGCGAAATTTGTAGCTGTGAGTATGCGTGGTGTGTGAGTGGGTGGGTGGGTGGTTGGGTTGGTGGGTGTGGTGTTCAGTACGGTTTAGAGTGGGTTAGGTTGGGCTTTATCAACATATGCGGTTAACTTCGGCAATGATTCAATCAAAAGGGCGAACGCAAGAGAAGGTAATTTAAACTATTTCACAAGTCTTATCTGAATTGAAGAAGCCGATAAAAATTATAATGTATCGCACTTTATGAATGCTCAATAAAATTCAATCGCAGATGTGGACTTTGCTTGCGAGCTGATGTTGTTTTCTAATAAACTCGTATAACAAATTGCTATTGCCAGCCTATAATTAACAAGAAGCTGTTATCTGCGGCATCTAAAAAGTGCTGCGAATCAGTTTAAATAATTCAAAATCAACCAGATTAATTGCTTCAACGCGTTCGCCTCTTTTTCATGGAATTCCATTCAGTTCGAGTGAAATCATTGCATAAAATTAGCCCGAGATCTGGGATGAGAAACGAGATTTGCCGGCGAACTTACATTCAATGTCGTGCAGCAGCTGCACAGCCGTCAGCAGCTTGGCGCGGTGCTCCTGGTTGAGGATGCCCAGGTAGTCCAGGTCGGCGGGCTCCAGCTCCTTGAACAGCTCCAGGTCCTCGTAGCTGCAAATGGAACGATAGGTGAAACAATCCAACAAAAATATTGTTGGTAAATTTGTTTCATCTACACCACTTACCCGTTGAGCACGAACACGGAGGTGTACTCCTTCAGGCCGATGCGGATCAGCAGGTCCTCCACGGAGCAGGGTCCTCCGTTGTGGCTGCCGTTGCCGGGATTAGCCAGCCGGGAGCCGGGGGCCAGGGTCTTGCTGCTCGAGTTCTTCATGCGCTGCTCCGGCAGCACCTCCACGTTGATGAACTTGAAGTGGCCCACGCGGCCGTGGCAGCGGCCCTTCCAGATGCCCGAGGCGTTCATAGACAGCACGTCGATGAGCTCGCCCTTCTGCAGATGGGAAAAGCAAATTATTAGATTAGCATGCTTCGAGGAGTCCTTATAAACTTAGGAAGGCTTGTTAAAAGGTTAAGAAACAGTAAACTTCTGAGAAGGAATAAATGAACTCGAGGAAGTGCTTTTGATTTAGAAAGGGTGATATTGTACCTATATTTTTTAATTACAAGACTCCTATTCCAGTTTGAACTGTCTACAAATGAACATTCGGAGCACTCACCTTGAATTTGAGGGCCTCCTTGTCGTAGGGATTGGGCAGGCTGTCCACGAGGGCCTTGGCCTTGCAGATGCAGCTGGCCATCGAGGTGCGATCCTCGGCCGAAATGGAGCTGTGCGGACTGCCAGGACGAACTAGCGCCTGAGTGCCTGCGGGTGGGGAGAGAGGGGAGATTGATAAATATTTACCCATGCTTTTTGGGCCAAAGTTTGTCCTGGCAAATTTCCAATTAATGCGCCCACAGCCAATTAGCCGCAGGACCCAAGGAATTTACTACGGACAAACAGCCAGCCATGCATGCAAGAGCTCACACTTATTCGTTTGGTTAATTAAAAACTTTTCAAATATTTTCGCACACACACACTGACACACACTAACACACACTTACACCCACTTGGCCCGAAAATATTCAAATATGCACTTGAAGTTCTCCTCTATTTTTCCGTGCTGTTGTTTTCTTTGCGTTGCCTTTGTTTGGGTTTCTGGCCAAAGCATTCGACTAATCCTTGCTTTGTGTCCTGGCCACATGAAAAATAAAGTATTTTTCCTTGCACTTTTCAAAGTTGCCACCCCACACCCACACCCAACCAGTTAGGCCCCACCCCCTTCCTTCCTTCCTTCGGTTCTCCCCCGGTGTTGCCTTTTATTTGGCCAAAAGTTTTGTTCATTAAAAAGGAAGCGGTTGCCCTTCATTTAACCACGCCCCAGACATTGCAATCTGCCGCCGCCCATCGGCACTTGGCCCCTTTTTTGGCCCCGAGAGGCTGTATCAGCCGGCAGCAGCAGCATCAGCAGCAGCAGCAGCAAGTGCATTAAAAATTCATTAAGTTTGCAAAATTTGAAGGAGCAACAAAAAACCGCAACAAGAACTACAACTGTTAATAGACCAATATGCAAGCCAGCCAGCAAGGCAGTCTGGGAATTTTTCCATGGCCATCGGGAGCGGAGGAGCAGATGGCTTGGCTTCGAGCTGCAGGAGCAGCAGAACAGCAGAGCAGCAGACAAAATCAAACCCGAAAACTCTAAATTGCCAGCTCAGACAAAGATACACAGCCCCGGAGATCCACAACCGTACATATCCGTATATATTGTATCCGTTCCTATCCTGCACGTATATAGTATAGAGTATAGTATACTTACTCGAACCGGAAGCGCTGGGCAAACTTTCCACGGAGCTGGCCGAACAGGCAAACGCCTGATCGCTCATGCTGCCACGGTCGGTATTATCTTGGGAATTGCTGAAATCCCTCGACGTATCCTTTGTGGCAACAAAGTTTCGTCCATTCTCATTAAATGCGCCAATTTCCTTCGCCGAGCTACGCATCTCGCCCGACTGCCAATCCAATCCCCAAGCCCAGCCGGAGTGAAAGTTGTCCGTTTTTTCCGTGTGTTTGGTCGCCAGCGTTGTGCAATAAATTGCATGTCGAAGGGGGAGCACCAGGAACAGAACGAGCCCGAGAACGAGAACGAGAACAAGAACAGCAGGAAAGTTTTGTTAGTTAAATCATTAAAAAGTTTAAAACGAACATACCAATACGCAGGGGAGGAGAAGAAAGTAGGAGACTTGGTTTTCTATGCACAGAAAATAACTTAAGTGCATTACATAAATATTTCCTGATTTTAATTTAATAAATTGTATAAAGTTTTCTATTTATGAATGTAATTTTCTGAAAATTAAATGACTATTATTAAACACATCAATTATCGGTTAATATGAAACAATGCAAATTTCTTTCTGTGTGGGATTTTAGGTTTAGGTTCGCTCAGCCTTAAGCTTACACATAGCTCGTGATGCTAGACACCAAAAACTTTGCTAATATTTTCTGGGCAGGCCTCGACGAGATGAACTTTCACTTTCACAACTGCGACCCCCACAAAACAGTGCAAGCGGCCATAAAAACTCATTAAACTGGCATTTGCATTTAGAGTGCATGTCGAGGAGGCCCATTATGAGGCTTTTGCCGAGCCATGGAAAGGAGGATGATGGGGCCACCAATTGCATAGGCGAACCGCCGATGGCTAATTACATTTCGCAGGCCACGAAATGTGTCAACAAAATCCCCCTTGGCTGCATCTCCTGCATCCAGCGCACCTTCCGATGCACTTCTCCGCATGTTTTCCTGCGGCATTAGCGTTTAATTAACTTACATGATGCACCGTGGCCTTCTGGCAAATGGTGTTCGCCTTGCCGTGCGGCAGTCCGTTCTTTTTGGCCTTCGCGGCCAGCAGGCTGGGTGGCAGGCAGCCGTGACCCCGGGTCACGCCGATGTCCTCGTAATCCGAGGAAGGACTGGGCGACAGCGACGGCGACTCCCCGACTCCGCCGCTCAGTGTCCTGTAGCGCGCCGTGCAGTTGTTGGTGCCGATCTGAGGGAAGAGAAAGGAAATGGGAAAGGGTTAAAAGCGGATTGAGTGCGTTTCCATATTAGCCAAGTTAGGACAAGTCAACTTTGCAAATGAAATGGTCGCCGTCCCTCCCCCAAATCGGAGCCAATAGCACTGCCGTTCGTATTCCGACAACGTTTAGCTGGCTTAAGTGCCAACTCCGGCTCCGGGAAAACAAGGAAAAAATACGGAAAGCGGCAGCAGAGAGCGCCGGGCAAAACTTGGCTAAAAAGCTTTTCAAGTTTGTGTGCGTTCCTCGTTTTTATTTCCCCCTATCTACGTGCACTTCTGCTGCTATCGTCCATTTTCGACCAGACGACATTGGCCAAATGCGAAGTTTGTTTGTCACAAAGAGCACTTAATCAATTTAGACGCATTCAGATGCAGTCGTCGGTGGAGTGGGATCGGCATTAGGAGGAGCGACCAAAACTGCAAGTTAAATGAGCCCCATTCGGTTGGAATGTAGTACTTACCGACACCGCACTGAGTCTGGAGGTAACGCTTTGGAGGTCTGAGATGGAGCCCGCGTAGTCGCCGCTTTCGCGATCGTGAGATCTGTAAAGAAATTATAAAGTTAGCAAGGGAATAATTCAATTTAAGCTTTGCTTATTGTTTGCTGCCAAATGCAAAGTATGTATTTGTTTCTTCAGAGAAGTGTTTTCAACTATAGTTTGTCCAGAAACAGACTTGAAATGTAATTAAGTTTAATAGTACTATGACAATCTTTCCCTTCTTTAATGTTCTCCTTTTTAACACAAATTGAATCCCCTTCAAATGATATCCATTTCAAATCTCACTTTCTATATTTATATACGAAAATCCCTCCTGATACGCCACGTCAATGGGAAAACCTGGTCTGAAAATTGCCCCGTACAATGGCCAAAAACAACTTTAAAATCGAAAACGGCAAACATTTTGATGGCAAACAATAACCGAGGGGAAGGGGAAGAAGGTGTCGGGCCGAGAGGTTGAGATATACACGACCCGAGGTCGAGTGGCAAACAAAGGTCATATAAATAAATACTTGATATCTTTTTCTTATTCTTTTTTTTTTTTTTTTGGCTCGGCAGATTTTCCTTTGCCATTTCGCTCCGACACTGTTGAGATTTTCACTTTTGGTTGCCTTTGCTGTTTGTTTTCCACCTTCGTTTTCCCATTCTCCGGCGCTTTCGTTTCCCTCGCTGTTCGTGAGAAGAAAAAGTTTTCTTTTCGTTTGGCTCGTTTGTGGCCCCAGCGGCGCACGAGGCGTATAAGTTATTTCAGCAAGTCCTTTTGTATGCGTACGTGTGGAAAACGCAGGCTCTCGCCTTCCCGCTTTCCCGTCTGTCCTCCTGGATTTTTCCTCCCGCTTCTCCCAGGTTGCTCCCCCTCTGGCTGCTGTCTACCTAGCTGGCTGATTGAGGAGCTGGCGCTCTGACTTGTGGATGGATTGGCGTTGAAGTAGCAATAATGCCATTTCATTCAAGTGTCCCGGCCTGTCGCTGTCTTGCTCTTATTGCTTTCGGATGCTCAGCTCCCCTCTCTCCTCTGCTGCTCCTCCGAAAGGGATTCAGAATCCAGGATCCAGGATCCAGCAGTACATATACATATATCGAGAGTGTGGCATGCGTAACAATATGAAATTGATGACTTTCGCTCCGATGCGTTTCGATATGTGTGCCGTCCGTCTGCCAGTCAAACCCCATCGACGTTTGTCATTCTCCCAGTCGCTCAGTCGCTCAGTCGCTCAGTCACTCAGTCACTCACTAATTCCCTCATTCAGGCACCCATTCATTCATTCATTCGTTCAATCGGCCGGCTGCAGACCGTTGATAACCGCACTAATGAAGTGAAGTCTACCCTTTTCTGGCACTTTTTCTATCTGTCTGGGCTCTCGGCTTGGCTTCGAGGGTGCACCTTTTCCGATTGACAAATAAATTCGAGATGCCAGACTTGAGCTGTTTGATTGCTTTCGCCCTGGTCAGCTATTAGTGTTTGCTGCTGGTCCAAGAGCCTGGCCTTTTCACGCCACACTGGGCCCGATTTTGTGGCCCAGTTTATGGTTCAATGATCCCGCCCCCGCCGCCTCCGCTCCCGCTGCCTTTGAAGTGCGGAAAAGGGTTCAGCGGCAATTGTGTTTGCCATATCATAACTGCCCACTCCGAGGGCTTCGTTTTATTTATTAATGCGCCACCTTCGTGCGGGCCCTCTGGCCATAAACTCGACTGCAAATAATAATGGCAATCAACGAATCCGGCCCTTGCCCCTTACCCTTGCCCCGCCCACTTGCCCACCTGCCCACCTTCTGCCCGGCGGCCCAAACTCACCTGGCGTGCGTTAACGGTATTATTGTCGGCGGATTTGGCGGCTGCTGCGGCACGATAAGACCTCGGCGGGGCGGTCCGCGTTGCGGCAGCGAAATATCTCCGGCGGATCTTAATGAAATTACGCCCGTGCTCTCGCGGTTGTTCGAGAAGCGCACACGGCCACCCTGGAAAAAAAGCGGAGAAGAAAGTGGTGAGTGAGGGGCATACATACACTGGGGGAAAGGCGCCATCTAAAATCGAGAAACAAAATATATATTCGTAATAAGAAATTTGCATCTAAGATTGCAGGGGATAACATAAGGATACATAATTTAAAATAAAGTGCAGATAAACTTAAACTAGAATCTTTGTAAAAATATTGTTAACAGTATAAATTGTTTCTATAAAACTATTTCTATTATTTAAACAAATCACTGTGTATTTTATGGCTATTGTTTCAGTGCATTTATCCGTAAAAAGGAGAGGGATTTGGAGTGCGCACAACATGGGGATTAGCATTCAAGTAGAATTTGTTGGCCGCTGCAGAGCAACAAAATTATGAAAAATTAACAAAGTTATAAAACTTTATGAGGCCGTGAGAGAGGAGCGAGTTCATTTGTTGTTGCGGCTGGCTTGTTGTTGTTGCTGTTGTAGTTGTTGTTGCACTGATTTGATGTGGCTGCCGGTTTCGGCTTGGAATTTTAAATTTAGTGAACACAAATTTGGTTTTCTTTCCTCTCCACTTTTTTTTTGTTGTTGCGTATGTTTGTTTGGCATCGCAAATTGCAAAGTTTTCTCGTTTTTAATTTAGGCAATGCAGCAAAGTTTTGGGCGCGCAGGGAGCATGGAAAAACCTCCAATCTGAATCAGATTTTTTGGAGCGAGCGTATCGGCGGGAGTGCCAGAGGTTGATTCGCCTTTCGGGTTGGTTTAATCCACAGTATTTTTGGCATGCAAAGTGGAGGTGGCTGGAATTGGCTTGACACACAGAACAGCATGTTATGTGAAACGTTTGCGGGTCCGGTTTCTGATCAAAGGCCGGACGAACAATTCAATTTCAATGCATTATCTCCGGCCACAACGGTCCGTTAAGCAGCCGCAGCAGCGCTCTTAACCTTTTTCGGGAACCGCAAAAGTTTCATTTCAATTTTAAACAAATTTCGTGGCCACATCAAAGCGGCCAGAAGCCGAAAGAGGCCCGGACAAAAGGCCACAGAGAGTTGGGCCGACTCGAACGCTTCAGCGCTGAGTGATTTCAATTGACTAAGAAAACAAATTCCCCCGATAACTTGCCTAATGCGTTCCGACAAAAGCGCAACTCCCGGGGAGGCAGGCAAAGGAACAAAAAAAAAACAGAAAAGGAAAAGGAATCCGGGGGGCAAAGAAAATTATGCAAAAGGAAAAGTCTCAAGACGGCGACGTCTTTCCCGGAGTTTTCCATCACTCCCCGGACCCCCGGATCAATCGACAATCAGACCCAGAGAGTCAAAGTCGAGCGAGTCAACAAGAATTATGCACTTTTTGACTGTCAATAAAAATAAAGTGAGTTCGAGTTGGAGTCGCAGTTTGTCCTGGAGTTATGCACACAGCAAAGGAACGACGAAATGCCAAAGGACATGGACATACAAATCGAAGTGGGTAGAAATCAATGCGCCAGCACAAAAATATATTCAGCGTATAATTTAATAAAGCAAATAGAAGAAAGCCACAAAGCGAAAATCGCTGAGGAGAACCCAGCCAAACGGGCAAAAAAAAAAAAAAAGAAAAAGGAAAACTGTATGGCAGCGGAACTCCCTCACAACTTTTGTGGCTGGCGAATTCCGCAGAGAAATCAAAGCGGGCTGCAGCTGGAATTGGTATGGAAACGGGTATTGGAGGGGGTTGGGCCCTCGGCTCGAAGGAGTCATCCGCCCAGTAACCAGTAACCAGGATTAACGGCGTCACAGGATGCGGCGCATGAATTTCAAATGTGATTGCAACTGCGACAATGTTGCTGCTGCCATTTTTTTTAGAAATATGACAAGAGAATCAGAAAAGGGGTTACCAAATGTATCTTAAATTTCAGTAAATTGTGTCTAAGAAAATTCAAACTATAAACTACACAAATAATTGAATATAATCTAATTTATCATTTAGGTAAACTGCTTTCCTAGTATTTATCAGATCCAAAGTATTTTTATGATAAATTAGTTGATAGACACTCACCTGAATTGTGGCGGCTGGTCCGCAGTTGAGCCCGCCCATGAGAAAGTCGTCGGGATCGCTCTCGTAGGGCGGCTCGTCGTACCAGTGACCTTGATGGTGCAGCGCACTCACCGCGTAATGGGCCGCTCCTCCGCCCCCGCCGCCCACTCCGATGGGCATGCCCAGGCCGGCGATCCCCATGCCGCCGCCCGTCCGCAGCGCCTCGTCGTACATGTACGTATCGTCTGCAAGGATAATAAAGCGGGTTTAGAAGCCACAAGAATGAGATGGGGGAACTTTGGAAACTTTTTGCGAGCGCCCCAAAAATGTGCAGAGCCAGCAGAACGGCTGCAACACAATATTATTATACGCCACGTTGCACACAAAACTTGCAATGCCATTTGCCACATGCGAGCAGTGCAAGTTGCTCCGGACTCCGGAGTCCGTAGTCCGTAGTCCAGAGTCCGGAGTCTGGAGCCCGGAGTCTGGAGGCCGTGGTCCAGAGTCCGTAGTCCGGGGCTTATGTTCGGATTGTGGTCCGGAAACGGACATAAGATTTTATGCTCGCTTATGCATGTGACGCTCGCCAGACGGGCGGACCTGCCACGCCCCTTTTGCCCTTGTTGCAGCAGCAGCGGCAGCGGCAGCAGCAGCGGCAGTTGCAACTTGCAACTTGCAACAGAAGCACTTCAAGTGTAAAATTCCGGCTGCATACTTTTCGGGGCACTCGCCTAGATTTTCCTCTTTTCCACTAGTTTTCCTTTATCCGACATTAGCTCTTTTTTTTCTACTCACCCATGCGTCCTTCTCCGCGACTCATTTGCAGCAGTCCTTGTCGAATGTCACGCAGGATCTGTGGAACGTGGAACGAAGTTGCATGAGAAATAATTTCAAGTGGTTTTAGCCTAGTTTGTTGCGGGCACTTTTCTCCATAATGTACATATATTAGTTGAAACTTTCCCTGACCGAAGCGGAGTATAGACTGCTTTCAATCAAGGACAATCAGCAGTGGGCCAAAACGGAATCAACTTTTGGCAACCCCTGCCAGGATATAACTAGATAAAAGTTGTCCACATTAAAGTCGCCGTCGGGGTTCCTCGAATTCGTATTCGTATGCATGTTTGCTCGTATTTGGGCAGCACTTTGTCTGCATGCCAAACGTGACTGCTGTGCGAAATGAAAGGACGAAGCGTTGTCAACTTTCGACTCCTTCTACATGCTTCTCTCCAGCTGGCATCTTATTAGCCAAGTCAGTCTTTCTCAGTCTCAGTCGGGGTCTCATTCTCATTCTCAGTTTCAGTCTCAGTGTCGAGCAAAGGCGTTAAAATTACAAAATTCCATTTGAAAACTAAAACAATTTTCCCAGCGCAAGCAGAACGAACGAACGAACGAACAACTACTAGAATGTGCTACTTGTTCCTATTTTTCTGTTTTTGGGCACGGCATGTCCTGAGTGTCCTGCAGCATAATGGCATTCAGTGTGCGCTGCATACTAATTCCGAGAGCATCATATATGAAAATGCTCTGCTGCTGGATGGCAAAAAAGCGTGCCAGGGCCACCAGCGAACCAGCGAACACCAACAGCGAACAGCAACAGCCACCGAAATAGAAATAGAAATAGAGACACAGTTGGCAATAAAAGCGGGGCGCTGAAAAATTAGCTAAAAGCTTTTTTGGCCAGCCCCATTAAAAATGAATTCAAATGGCGGTGGGGGATCGGGTGTTATATGCTCTACTCCCACACAATCGGTCGGACCCGGATGCCTTCGTTACCAAATTGAAATTTACGTGGCCAAGAAGACACACAGCACTTTCTTACAATTCTAATCACATCTGAGGTCTGGGGAGCCGCCTGCTTAATTGCCTGGCCAAATGCAAAGAGCCAAGAAAAAAAGAGAGTTTCTAGCCCCACACCCATCATAAATATTTCATGCTGCTCGGTGCTACACTAACACACACACTCACACACAACAAGGGTTTCTTCTCCATTCTAGCTTTTCTGGCCAAATGGAAAACAAGGCCCGAACAGCAGCCTTCTTGCCATGAGGGGGCTGCAAAAACAGCAATTACAATTAGACAAACAGAATGTTGTTTGCACAAGTTAAGCAGCAGTAGCATCAGCACTAACAACAATAACAATGCGACCCCCCTCTCCACTCCCCTTCGGAGAGTTCGTGTGTATCCTTACCCCACCTCTTGTGTGCTTTTCATTTATGCACAAAAATTATTGCCCTTGCTTAGGAGCACACATTTTCCTGGACGGGCAAACAGTCGACAAATTGTCGTGCAGCAACGCAATTTGTGTGGGTACACATGGAGAAACATCTGATAAGCATATCACTGTCCAGATGTCAAGTGCTTTCTGTAAATATTTACTATCAAAGTTATCTAAACTGTCCGAATCCATCGCATCTTAACAGAAATCTAAATAGCTGAGAATAATAAGGAATTATAATTATAGCTTCCCTAAAACCATTCTTTTAAGAAACTCTTTAGTATAGAAAGGATCTTAAGTAGTTTAAATTCTATTAACATTTTTTTTTCTCAGTGCATGTGTATATCAGAGTGATGCGTGTATAAGTTCGCATCAGTATGCTGTGCATCCATCATTGAGCCTGATAACTGGCATAATTAACTGCGCCTGCTGCTGCCAAGTTGATGGAAGATGTGGAGTGTTGTGGGTGAAAAGATTCTCGAAATCGATTTGGCTTTTAAGCCCCTGGAAAATCTCGGCTCTTCCCGAGGCTTGGCCTAATTCAATCGGGCTGAAGCATCAAGCAATCAACATGAAATATTTTGCTCGGCACTCGCATTTAATTCTCCCGGCAAATAAATAAATAAGTTACCCTCTTTCGACGACACGCCCGTTCGCTTTTATCATGGGTCCCTCGTTCGGACGGCGCTTTCAAGTGTGGAAAGTAACTTTTTTTTACGACAGACCAAAGTTTATCATTCGCCACGTTGCACTTCATTGTTTTTGTTGCCTCGATTTGGGGTGCCAGTGCACTGGTGTGTCTGTGTGTGTGTGTGTGTATGTGTGCTCGACATTTTGTCTGCGTCTGTTTTGCATGTTTGCTCGCCACTCACAACCACACTCGCATACATTTATTTGGCAGCTCGAGCTTTTGGCCGGGTCTTCAGGCCTTTATGCCTTGGAATAATTGCTGTTTTTATATCAAATATTTTTAATAGCTTTTTTAATTGGCTTGTGCATGTAGAAGTCGTAGCATTTATATATTCCAAAACAAATACCAGTGCAAACAGTGCGTGCCGCAACTATAAGTTGCCAACATACTCGTACGTTTCACAATTAGGCGAAATTTTATGAATGGATTTCCCATAACTGCAAAAAGAATAAAGTTTATGGGGGCCATGAGTTGCACGTACATTTTATTATCCTTTGTGCTTTTCTTCATTAGGATTTATGAGCACACATTTTATCAAGTTTTCAACGCTAGTCAACAAAACTTAATTGGGACAAGGAAGATCCGTTCCCCTTCACTACTAAATATTAAAATCACTAAAGTTTACCCATAAATCTACAAAGCTGTTTTGCAACCACGAAACGCACTGTAAGCTCGAGGGCAGTAAGACACAAGCAAAACCTTTTGGCCTGTGCAATTGCAACTGTTTCTTCTGTTTGTGTATTTAATGCATGCAAATATAAGGCTGAGGAATCTGTGAAATTAATAGTGAAGCCCACACACTCAAACTCCGCTTTCTGCTTTATGTTTATTTAATTTGTGAAAAGTGCCCAGAACAAATATGCTTGATTTATCCCTGGCCACTGCAAATGTTTGCCATTCGCATTTATAAATTTTGGAATAGACATCTTGAAGGCATAAATCTTTGCCTTGTGGTCACAGGATATTTGGATATTTTGGGGTCGGGCTGAAGTCACTTACCTCTTCGTGCTCACGCTGAAATTTTTCCTTTTTCCTCATGGCCTCCTGTACTTTCAGCTGAAATTGGAAAATGGGCTGTTAGCTCTTGTCGTTTGCTGAGTGACTTTGTTTATTTATGAATGCGGCAACTAATTTCTCGGCTAACGAATATTTAAAGTATACTTTTTCGGGCGGCAAATGAAAACGGGCATCTAGTCTGCATTGGGGATGTTTGGCTATGCATTATGCATTTGCTAACAATTGTTGCAGTTTCTGTTGCTCCAGGTGTTGCTGTTGCAGGTGTTACTGCTGCTGTTGCTGCTGTTGTTGCTGTTGCTGCTGCTGTCGCGTTGATTGCATTTTGCTGCTTGTTTTTAGTTTGGCGCCGTGCGCGCTGTCATTAATAATGAATGTTGACGGCAATGAACTTTTAAATGTTGCATGCATCCACACGCTGCCACTTCCTCTTCCACTTCCACTTCCTTTTCCTCCTCCGCTTCCCCCGGGCCCTTTTTGGTTGCAATTGTTGTTGCTGGTGGCATGCCATTACAGGTAAACGTGCTCAAAAGCAACAGCCGCAGCTTTCGTGTTGAAATTGCATTGCAAATGCAGTCAAAGGAGGGTGGTGTGCGAAAGTTTGGCCCTGTTGTTGCTGCCTCAGTTTGTGCAAATTTTTTTGTTGCAGCGCAGTTTCGCTGGCAGCCGCAGCTGTTGCAACACCAAGCGGGCAGCACAGCAGCAACATCAGCTTGTTAAATTTGCTGCATAAATATTTATGCGACTATTTTATTCTAACCATCCAAACATCCCCGCAAAACACGCATATTTAAACGAGCTGAAGAAATATAGTTCTTGAGCAGGAAGAAAGAGATTTCATGATAAGGATTTGTTGATTTTCATGATACATATTTGCTATTTAAAAATTCAGAAACTGTTGCTTTAATTTAAACTGTTTGATACTTTTGCTTTAAAGATTTCTTAAATCAAGAAAAATCTCTCCCCAAATGGGTTTTTCATTCAAAAATGTTCCTTCAATGCACATCCATTCCAGTTATCGCTGATTGCACCTATTTATTGTACTCACCCTGTGGATTGTCTCCTCGAAACTGTGCTGCTGTCCGCCGGCGCCGCCGTTTATCATTTGAAAGTGCCGCAGACGATCGTTGGCCGCCTGCAAGAGTGCGAAAGAATCAATTTAGGGCAAAGTTTTAAATTCATTTCCAGGGCGAGCCTTCAATCGCCGGGCTTATTAACTTTCTCGGGTATGCACAAAGGTTAGCTGAGTGGTGGGAAGTGGGGAAAGGATGCTCGTAAATCAAGGACTCCTTGAAAGGGGGCCAGCGAGCACCGTGCTTTATCGCCATTAGAACGCCATTTTGTATTTCACACCTTTCAGCGGGGCTTTAATTTTTAATTAATAACGAGTCAAGGGTCAGGCTAGGGTCGCCATTGGACCCTTCTGCTCGGGTCGCTGTTTAATGCGTTTGTTTTCTTATCATAAATAGCAAATCAGGTGGGAGGACGACCGCCGAACAGAGCAGGTGAGTGCTGTTTAATTACGCCTTGAAAGGCTGCCACGGCTGCCGAGCGGGATGCCGCTACTTAGGCACACATCCTTAGTCATTTCCTGCGCTTATCTGAACCAAGTCCTGCAGGGTGTCTTCCTTGCTTCCCCCATCCACCTCCCCACCTCCGCCAGTTTATTATTTATATTTTTTTTTTCGCTCTGCCCCTTCCCTTATTTATTCCTTTCTGTGCTGCTTGTGAAAAATTTATGCATGTCCTTGCTTATTTATGAGCAGCGTCGCCGTCCTGTGCCGCGTTATCTCTGCTCCTGGCCGCAGTTTCATTGCCAGCCTCGGCTCAAGGATAGTGGCTCCGCCGCTCCAGCTGCTATGGCTCCAGTTCTGGCTCTGGCTCGTGATCCCGATGCCGCTCCCCAAAGGTTGCTCTAATCAAAGGCGCTGAATGAATCCTTTGTGAGCGGCGCAGATAAAGCGAGTGTACAACAACTTCTGCGGGGGCAAAAGGCGAGCGGCAGCGGAAGGAAGTTGCAGCCAGGACGAGGACAAGGACGAGAAGTGGCAATGTAGACATGGCCGCTAGCAAAACATTTTTAACCTTTTCAGCTGGCAAGGCGAGTAGAAGAAGCTGCTCGGTGCGCATAAAAATTTACATGTCCCCAGGGCCAAGATTAAGTATACTACACAGAGCACTGCGGAATATTCAAGTCAAGACGCAGAAAGTCATAAAATGGCAGCCTAGAAAAAGGCACTCCCTTCCAGGGAAAGAGGATGGGAGGAGATCCAGGGGAAACCAAACGAAATGCGAGCAAATAAATTGAAAGAATTACCGCAGCAGTTGATTCAAATGAAAGGCTGGGGACAAAACTTGCGGGACAGGACAAACAATTTGCTTGCGGTCATAAAACGAAGCGCGAAAATGAGTTTCGGTTGAAGAAGGGAGAAGGGAGTGGGAAAAGGCGGAAAATCCTCTGCAAAGAGTATTGAGGGAGCACTTTACTTACCCTGGCCTGGGCGCCATTTTGCTGATTGTTCCGATCCCGTCGATTGACAGTCTTCAAGCCTTTCAGCAGTCGGGCCAGCGTGGTGCGTTTCTTTGTCTCGCGACCCTCTGAAATTCGCGGGGGAAAAGCCGAGAAAAAAGGGAGGGAGAGAAATTGAATTAGTAAAGGGAATTCAAGTCGGCGGCTGATTTACATATTCCCTTTTTTTCGCATTTCCCTGGCCTTGCAGAGCGTTGAAGCCTTAGAGTTCAGAATAGCTTTTTAAACTAAATAAATAAGCGAGTTTTATAAAGCTTCCTTGGACACCTTTTCATAATACTCTGCAAGGCTAAGGACTTCTGTTCTCTGGGTTTTCAACTTACCAGCTGTCGGTGGAAATTCATAGAAGTAAGCGGAGCGTGGACTCAGGCAGCTGTGGTGAGAATAATATTTGTTAGTTAAAATATATAGTAAAGGGGGATTCAAACCATTCAAATGCTGTACTCACTTTTGCTGCACAAAGTTCAGATGGGCGACATTCGGCGGCAGAGTCTGGTGCTGATGCGCTCCCGCCTGTTGCTGTTGACCTGGCACAATTGGTAACTGTTGCTGCTGCTGCTGCTGTTGCAGTTGCTGCTGCTGCTGTATGCTCTGCTGCGTCTGCAGCGTTTGCTGCTGCAGCAGCTGCTGCTGTTGCGTCAGTCCGCCTCGCGCCACTCTGGGTGCGAAAACGCCATAGCCGAATCCGTAGATCTCGTCCTCCTCCTTGTCGGACAAACAACTCGAGGGCTGCAAAAGTCGGGGTATAACTTGGTTATTCTATAGGTTACTTTTCAGGGGGAGAACACAACTACAGCATGCAAGTGAAAGTGGAGAACTCAAGCAAGCTAAAAATATTTACACAATTCTTAACACACAATCAAATAAATTTATTCAGATAGATGCCTAATGGTTTTTTGGTTTGTATTTTTTAGGCAACGCCAACATCAATTTCTTTTTTTTTTTAAGAATTTCTTGTTCTGTTGATTTTGTAAATATTTTCCTTAGGGGTCCGCTAATGGTGGGTTCGTTTTTTCGTTTCTTGGTGATTAAGAAGTCGGGATGGTGGGTGGGTTGGGTGGTTCCGGGTCATCGTCATACATACCGAATACTTTCCGGGGACGTAAATGGGCTGGCTATGGCTATTGGGCAGACCGGCGCCGTGCATCGAGTGGCCGCGATGGCCGTGCTGCTGGCGGTGGTGCAGGACGCCGCTGCTGCCGCCGCTGCCCCCGCTGGCCGCCCCACCGCTGCCGCTGCCCGTGCTCCCGCCAGCCCCCCGCCCATCAGCTGGGCGGTACTGTGCAGCGGACTGCGCTCCGCCCAGGCCGCCTGGCGAGCCCGCTCGATGGCCGCCAAAATGTCCCCGAAGGGAGCCATTAGCAACTCGCAATAGACGGATGCCAGGCCCTCTAAGTGGCCGCGTTGTCCATCCTGCAAAAGAGCGAGAAACGAGCAGCAGAGAACGTAAGACACTTGGCCAACTTTTCGTGGGGGATGATCGAGGAGGGATGGTTGAGGTTGGGTTGGGTGGTGTTATGAATGCGGGTTCGGTGCGGAGCTAACAGTGGGGCTAATAAGATGATTTCAGGTGAGTCAGAGTGGGTGGAGAATGCACAGAGAGACAGAGCGTTAATGAATCTACATTGATGTTGGCGTTGGATGGGGTTAGCGGTCGGGCTAGTCACCGGGTTAATAATTTTAAGGGGGGTTAATTCGCTAATCCGGTTAATCAACAGCAGCCACAACTTAACTACAGGTAACACAGAGCAAACTAGGGGAAAAAGTTTTAAAGGAAGATGATTAAAGACTAAAGTCTGTATAAGATTTGTATATTTAAGGTATTTGTTTTGGCTCGAAAGCTGATTAAAAATCCTCCCGAAACAACACTTAACTACTAGTCAGAATTATTTATGAACCACAATAGCAACTGCTCCAAAGTGTTCCCCCGGCCGTAATCAAATAAAAGCCTATATGCTCGAGCTCATATGTTTGCCTGTTTGCCAACAATTCGCCGCTCAAGTCAAATTAGTTTCGCCAACTGCCGCTGCCAATTGCCACAAATAATTGAGTCTGCCGGGGGAAAGGGGGGCAGGGGCAACTAAAAGCTCGAGCTCCAAACATAATGCACTTAGTCTGGGCATAAATTATGGCCACACCCGTGCACCCACCCACCCACACGCACACACACACACACACACACACGAGCGTCTGTATTTACAGCTCTCGAAGCGAAACATCTCGGGCCTGATAAAATTGTTAACAAACTGCCATGTTAAATTACACAAAACAGAGGCACTCACTCACACGCACACACACACGCATACTCACACACACACTTGCAAAGGCTCAATGGGCTTCTCTTACGCACTTTTTCATTGCATACCTGCAGGGGCAATTTTGCAGGGCGCAAAAAAGGAGCGAAAATGACGGTAAAGGGGGATTAAAGAGGGGATGGGGGTGGGAAGGGGGTGGGTGCCCCACTGCCTTGACATTTTGAGTGGCGCTCGGGGCAATGTTAAACGCTTGACATTGTTCCACGGCTTCGTTCCGCGCTGCGCTGGCATCAATCAAATATGACACGCATTAAAATATCGCCCGATTCCCGCCGCCGCCACAGGACCCCTTCCCCAGAAATCCTGGCCCACATCCTGCCTCGATTTACCCGCCCCATGTGGGGCCATGTGGAAATTGACAGGCTTCAGTTTGCCACCTGGCCCCGGATTTACCTGGGCATCTGCAGAGCGCCAGTTATGGGTGCGTTGTACTCTGACGTATGAAAAATACCTGCCACGCGGCCCTTCGGTCCTTATTATACTCTTTTTCGCGCTTAAGTAGACTTTTATTAGCAATTTGTCAACCTAATTGAGAGTGCAGAGAGAAGTGTATATTCAGCAAGCACTAGTAATAACTAGGGGTCCCTAATAAATCAGCTTAAAAATATTTCCATTAATTTTAGCTCTGTGCTATAATTGTAAGTAAGTACTATATCTGACTGGATACAATTTGGTATATTATATTTATTTATCTGACCTTAAAGGGTATCTCAAGTTTCACCTTTAGAATTTGTCACATTCAACGCGCTGTAGTTAAATTGAGTAGAAGGACTTCCAGGCCAGACATGCGTAGGGTATAACAGCCCGCTTTGTGTATATATTGTGCAATTTGCGAGGAAATTGCCGCGTTTAGCGTAATTTTTGCTACTTATTGCCTCTTTGACTAGGATGCCAGCAGTGGAAAAGGGAGTGCTTTGTGGCCCTCGGCGATACTACTACCAGCCGGAGTTCCATTTTCTTACATTATTTTTTCCTGCCGTCTTCGTCCTCTTTACGCTTTGGGTAATTTCACAATGAGCCCTCCAGGCAGCTGGCTTGTTTGGCCTTTTCATTAAAGGTTAACTCGCAAAGTGTCAACTTTTGATGAAGGGGAACGAAAGTGTTTTTGGCCTTTCAAGACTGACAAAGTGTGCTTAATGCTGAATTAAAATGGGAGGGGATCCTGGACTTGATGTGATATTCCCGCAAAATGATTGGATCAGAAAGCTGTCCTCGTATCAATCAACATGTTATGCCTTATAAACTGAGTCAGTTTCATAGCAATTGTCTGGCATTTCCGTTCCTTGTGAAAGCACATCTTTCAGCAACTCATTATGCTGGTGCACAAAATTTATTATGCAATTCCGAGTTTATGCCTCATGCTGAATCAATTTCATCTTGGTATACGCATTCGCCTGATTATTACTATATATAGTTCAGTATATAGTACCCAACCTATCCCTCTTTCCCGCTCAAAGGTCATCCGAGCTTGTCCAAGTCGTAACAGCAAATTCATAAAGTCATTTGCAATTTTGCTGGCAGGGACTTGAGTGCCAGCCAAATGAACGAAAATGCCAAGCGACAGAAAGTTTGCTCCTGCCAGATGGATTTCGATATAGATATATCGTGCTTATGCTCATGGTTATATGGTTGCGAGCTGAACAAATTCATAAAAACCGAGCGAGAGGGCAAAGCAAGCAAAATAACTGTCGCGATAAAATAATTTATTGAAGTTTCGCAATGCCAGCGACAAATGCAATAAACTGCGCGCTCCGCCTTGGCTCACATGACGTATGCGTTATAAATTTATTTTCAATAGCTCCTCTGCAGAAGCGATCGGGTTGAGAAGTGGAAAGCTGCTGCTGCTGCTGCTACTGTCGCTGCTTTATTGGCAACTCTTGACACACATCGCGGTGCGAGAAAAACGCGCCAGACCAAGACAAACAGCAGGCGAGGCAGTTAGTTAGGGAGCCTGCCAACGTCGCAGGACCTCGGAGTCAGGATGCAGGATGGAGGCTAAAGGATAGAGGATAAGGGCGCCGGGATAAAGTGATGTATGAGTTTAACGCCCTCACGTCCTCGCCGACAGTAACAGCCACTGGAATAGCGACAGGAGCCAAGACAGGACAGGGGCAAAAAAATATTAAGCGAGGAAATATGTTGCCACGATATTGACAGCACGAATCGTGGGGCCAGGGAAACTTTGGCCCGGGATTTTGGCAATGACAGCAGCTACACAAGAACTAAGTGAGGCAACATCCCAACATCGCAACATCCCAACTTTTTGGCAGCGAATTTTGTTATTCCTGCTAGCCGGCCAAATGACTTTGTTTATTTGTTTCGTGTACATTCCGGTAATCAGCCCGGCACAAATTACACGCCGGGCTAATAACTTTTGACATGTGATTTCGCAAGTGGCGTTAAGTCCTGTCTCGGTTTGCTCATTAGGCCTGGTCGGAGCTGAGCGGAACATTCGCTGCCTAGCTGTCAATTTTTTCCGCAAACTTGGTCAGACACTCGACTTGCGGCCTGCTAATTGATGACGTCTGTCCAGGGGTAAAAAGATTACTCAGATTGCGAATAATGTATGCTGTTACTTAAAATATAGAAGGATAAACCTTTCTAAGTAATCTTGAAAAGGAATATGGAGTTATGTGGTTTTATACCTTTTAATCTAAAAAAATAACAAGAGATAACATTATATTTTTGTTTTTTCTTCACTACTTTAAATGTTCCTTAACATTTATAAAGAGCATTCAGAATCGAATACCGCCATTGCGAAATCATCCGCATCTGCGGCTGGCGAAATCCGTTTAATGAGCAAACACAACGCACGCAAAATTACAAAAGAAGCCCAGGAGGCGGGGATTCCTTTCCGCTGCTGGTCAGCCAGAATCTCGTGTTTGCACAAGACTTCGAGAGCCGCATGCAAACACCAATTAGAGTGACCACAGGGCAAACAAAGGCATCAATTAAGGGGACGGGGCCTCTTTAAGTTGGCTCATCCCCCGGACAGCCAGTCAGTCAACCGTTTGGAGAGCCCTCAATTGAAAGTTGTAAATCGCAAAATCTATTTGCAAGTCACAATTGTTGTTAGATGTTAGGTGGGTGGTTCGATTGTTGAGGAGGGAAGAAGGCAGATCCGTTTCCGCTTTGGCCGCAATCAGCCGAAAGAAATCAACTGAAGCGCTGATCCACGGCTGCTGTCTGATGCCGGCGAGCACTTAAGGGTTAATTCCATAAATTGTACATCAAAGCAGCTGGTTGGTGGGTTAAGAGGGGCGTGGCGGAGCGGAGCGAGGTCCTTCGGCATTTGCCCTGCAGTTGACAATTTTTGAAAGTCAGTGATTTGTAAATAATCCTTTTATAAGCACAATGGCTGCTCGTTAACGGCAAATGAGTTTTGACATGGCCAGTGGACACTGGGCCTCCCCT